TAGATTTATTTTTTAAAACCACCAGCATTATCATGCACCGCAGAAATCCCGCGTTATCCAAAATAATCTTTTAAAGGCCCCGCAGACGCTTACATATTGTTAAGTAACCTGGAAGATACCTTGATATTAATTTACATGTACTAAAATTGTCTCACTTAATCATATATTTCAGGTTCAACTACATCACCAACAACGTCACATACTACGTCACCAACAACGTCACATACTACGTCACCAACAACGTCACCAACTACGTCATCAACAACGTCACCAACTACGTCACCACCTCCTTGTCTAGAAACTAACGGCATGGCTGATGAATACATTATCGCTCCTTCAGCCATTACAATAAAAGCATATCCTGCCAATAGCTCGCTGTCTGACAAACTGTCCACCGCAAATGAAACAGAATTAAATAAAATAAAGAACTCTCTACGGTAAGAATTAAAGCAAGTCTGATATGTCAGGACTAATTTAAGCTTGGCGATTACATATTTCTTTTTAACGTTATCCTAATTAGATATTTTTTTCAGAGCCATGTTAACACACTTTATCTATCACATACGGTGCCGTTTTACCATTCCGTATGAACGGTATAGCACAGTTGTGCGCGTTATACAGACATACCGTAAAGACGCGCTAAATGTTAGTAATAAAATATTCAGGTATATATGGGACAAGGCGCTTGTATGATTAAATGCTAAAGTCTCGCCTTTTCACCCAACGGAATGAACATTTAAACGTCTCATTTATCTCTACAGAAAGATTTATATACGAAAATGAATGTAAAATGTAAGAATCGGCGGGGAAAAAAACAATAACAACAACACAAAAAAAAACACACACACAAACAACAACAACAACAACAAAAATACCGAAATTTGTCTATTTTGTGATCTTGATTTCTGCAAGCGTTCAGTATTTGAACTTGCACTTATTCAATATCCTTTATTATCCCCCGCCGATGGAATCGGGAGGGGGATATAGTTTTGGCGTTGTCCGTCCGTCCTTCCGTCCGTCCGTCCATCCGTCCGTCCATCCGTCCGTCCGTCCGAATTTTGTTTCCGGAGTAGTTCTCTGCAACTAATGGCTGGAATTCAACGAAACTTTATGGGAATGTTGATCAGCATGTGAAGTTGTGCACCTGGGTATTTTCGTCTGGATATTTTTAGTATTTTTAGAGTTATTGCCCTTGACTTAGTAAAACGTCCGAATTTCGTTTCCGGAGTAGTTCTCTGCAACTAATGGCTGGAATTCAACGAAACTTTATGGGAATGTTGATCAGCATGTGAAGTTGTGCACCTGGGTATTTTCGTCTGGATATTTTTAGTATTTTTAGAGTTATTGCCCTTGACTTAGTAAAACGTCCGAATTTCGTTTCCGGAGTAGTTCTCTGCAACTAATGGCTGGAATTCAACGAAACTTTATGGGAATGTTTATCAGCATGTGAAGTTGTGCACCTGGGTATTTTCATCTGGATATTTTTAGTATTTTTAGAGTTATTGCCCTTGACTTAGTAAAATTTTGTAATTTTCAACTTGTGTCGCATGTAACTCGAAAAGTATTTGACCTAGAGTCATGAAACTTTACAGGAATGTTGATCAGTATGTGTAGTTGTGCACCTTGGTATTTTCTTCCGGATATATATTTTAGAGTTATTGCCCTTGACTTAGTAAAATTTTGCAATTTTCAACTTATTTGAAAATTGTGAGATCCCTTCTTGATGCCTTGAAAATGGCAATGAAGTCTGGAGATTAAGATGTTTTTACATCTAGGTGAGCTATTGTGATCCCCCACCGTCCGTCGTCGTGCGTCGTCAGCAATTTCTTTTAAACAACATCTCCTCAGAAACAAATGACTGCACAGCAACCAAACTTTACAGGAATGATCCTAGGGTGGTCCCCTGCCAAAGTTGATCAAATGGTTCCGTTCTGTAGCATAAGTAGGTCACAGGGCCAGAAAAGGAGTTTCAAAAATGCAAAATTAAAAAATCTTGTCTGAAAGTACAAGCCTAGAGCTTTGATATTTGGTATATGATATAACCTATAGGTCCTCTACCAAAATTGTTCAAATTTTAGCCCTGGGGTCAAAATTGGCCCCACTCCAGGGGGTCATAGATTTTCCTTATATGTATATAGTGAAAACTTCTTCTTGTTTGAAGGTACAAGGCTTCAAGTTCAAAGAATATTACAGTTTATGCCATGATTAATATATAAATAAAGCCTTATGTCTTCAGTTGTTCTGTTAATAATAACCAGTACTCGGCGGGGGATATAAATTCAACGAATTTGCTTGTTTGTAACATATTTTGATAGAAAAATAATAATGATAATACTTGTAATAGTCACCGGCTGTTTTAAAGGATATATACGTAGAAAGCTTTATCTAATGAAATTATATATAAAATTATAAGCGTAAATTAATGTTGCTTTCAATATCTTAGTCGATTCTCGAATGAGTTGTAAGACTTTGAAGGTCTCTTGTATTTCACAAAAACAATGATTTACTATAGTAGTAATAAAACAATAATAAAGTAATAACAGTATATTATATCTATAGCTTAATGTACACTTTAATTATTTTAGATATTTCAATATTGTGTAATAATAGTACTTCTAACTAAAATAACAGTTAGTATAACTATCATAAAGAACTGGATGAGTTTTAAGGGTTGTTTATCATGAATGAATAAAACAATTTTTTTTATTTCCTTTCAGAACAAGTTCTTCTGAGAAATTTTCAATGGGTGATGCAGAATATGTTGTTATATCTATAACATTTGATGACAAAACAACAGTTGGCAGACTCATTATTAATACAAACGAGAATTTTGGCACCTATTCTGTGCATTTTAACGAAAGTGGGAAAATAACTACCGAAGAGGTCAGTTTACTTTATTATAAAGATTTTTTGACGGGTTATATGACCCTCATCGTCGGATACCCACTATTGATAAACATGTCACATAACATGCAATCAATGATAAATGTTAATGGTTCGGCCGTGGGTATCCGACGATGTATGACCCTATATAAACAGGTGTTGGAAAATATAATCCGAGTCGTGTGTAACCGTTTATATTTGGTCATATTACCTGTCAGGAAGAATTATTCAGCAAAATTCCTTCCAAGGGAGCAAACTTAAGATTTCTTTATATATTGACCGTAGCCGTGTATAAATATGAAAATATTTAAGAAATAATATCGGCTTCGGCGGTGTTTATTGGCTATTTTAACATCGATTTTGAGTTTTGGTGCATAGGAATTGATCACAAAGGCCCTAAGTCTGTTTAATTCGCATCAAAACGACATTAACTTTGGCGATTGGCGAACTGTGAATGCATTTTATACATAGAGGAAATTCAAGTTTTTTCTATAAATACATGATTTATTTTCATCGAGTGGTATGAAAATAAATATTTCATGAGTGGCGGTAGCCACGAGTGAAATATGGTAATTTTCATGCCACAAGATGAAAATAAATCATGTATTTATAGAAAGAACTTGAATTTTCTGTTTATTATATACATTTGTCTCTTTCTGGACATTAAAATTTGAAAGACTTTTCCTAAAATTTTGAGTACTGGCAGAATTTAAAAGAAAGTAGTCCGGCAAATCACCAGTGAAAATACGGAAAATATGTTTCACTGCAGTGAAAAATAAATTTTTACAGTGAAAATACGGAAAATGAAAATATGCATTTTATTTCATCAATATTTCTCAATATTTCATTTAAAAGTATATAATAAATATATATATTTAGTGTCCAACTTTATTTGTCATCCAATGAAAACGCTGTATTTTTAAAAAATTCTGTGCATTAATTTTCGTAGAAGAACAAAAACCGATACTATATCGAAGTCCTTTCATAGTCGACATCTATTTTTCATAGTACTTCATAGAACGGCATAGTGACGTAATAAAGTGAGTGATTATGAGGCTAAATAAAGTTTGACACTAAATATGTTAGTATTCATCCGTGCTGTTCTACAGAAATTAGAAACATTCTCCTGTCGCTATCGCTCCCGTCGAAGTTTCTAATTTCTGTAGAACAGCACGGATGAACACTAACATATACATATATATTTCAATTTTAATACTGCGAAACCACAAACTATAATAGATCTAATAATAATTGATACAATTTTTACAGACAAAGGATGTGACGTCGATATCGACATATTATAACGCCAAGGAAGTGACGTCAATGGTTATAATGATACATAAATCACCATCGATTGAAATATCACCAGAGATACAAATAGATCTGAGGATGTGTTATGGTAAGTGATATCATAGTGAGTAATATTTTTGAGTCTTAATATTTTTGATAGTGAGTGATGTCTTAATAATTGTAAAAGAACAAAGACAAATTATGCCCCAGAAATGCTTTTATTTTCATTTTTCAAAGCTTGTTATTTTTAAGGTCCTGCTATAGTTACATTGTGACAGTTTGTTTGAGCTAATAGATTTTTTTACTGCAGCTTGTAGATCGGAGATGATAGACACATCTATTGTGGTCCAAGCTGGTAATACGGTCGTGAACAAATATTTGTCAGATCTTCACACCATCGACGTTCCTTTCGGCGTTAATGAGCTCATATTTAGGTTTGACGAAGAAGAGCGAGTGACGGCTGTATCTTTTAATGTTAACAAAGGACAAGTTCTGTCATTGGACGTGCAATACTTCCTAAATGAAAACATGATAGGGCCTGAGGTAAGACTACTTAGGAAATAAAACACCCCATAAGTAGAAAACACTTTTATAATTTATTACCAGGGAGGCTATCTGAAAATGTAAAAAACTAACGATGAGTTATGATTTTAATCCTATTTTAAGTATGTACTCCATCGGCATCTGATCAGACAGTGGTGGTTTGTGTGTCAGCGTCGTACACAAAAATGTGTTTGTTGATTTTAAACCTGGTTATAGCAAACAATTTTAACACTTAAACTGCTCGCACAAAGAGTGACTTACCTTTGTCACTTGCCTGTTTCTGTATTATATAGCTTTGTGTTTTATATTGAAATCCCTGAACTTTAAATAAGACAATTTTAAATTTGAAGCAGGACAAATCCATGTCAAAAATTCAGGGTGGTGGGGGGATTAAAAGTTGTATAAGTTACTGTCTCGCTGTGTGTGTAAGATTCCGTATGTTCAGTTCTAGGACGTCTGAATTTGGCAACGCAAGAGTGTCTACTGTGTAATGTTTATTGAACCATCACATTTGTCTTTGCTACAAGAAGACACAATTGCCTGTAATTCTAAAGGATCGTTAAGGTCTGCAATAATAGAAATAGTCCAAATTATCAAATCAAATTCATTATTACAGAAAACAGAAACTTTCAGCGTAAATCAAGGTGGAATAGTTTTTATTGAAAACGAACATGGTATTCCAGCAAGAGTTATAAAAGTTACTTTAGTGGTCCTGACACAACCAGTGACGATTACCGACTTGAACATCGAGGTGTGCAACCCAGGTAAACGTCTATATTGATGTTATCTTTTCAAAGTACCTATTATTCTTAATGCGCTGGTATACATTCTTACTTTTCAAGTTTAGTAGATCGCTCTTCGTTCCAGTTAAATATTATTATAGAATATTTTCATCAAAATTTAAAGATTATGGACCGTTAAAGGCATGTTTGCAAGCCACCATATTAGAATCTTATTAAATAATGGCGTCACAGTGGCAAAACACGCTTTTACTGACAAAAAATACTCAAAATAAAAATAACAAAAGCCATTTTTGGTTTAGTTTTATATAAAGATATTACAAAAAAATGTGTCGTTATTGTCCGCTTCATTTGACTTAGTTATTCTTTATATCTCACTTGAACTTACTTCGGTTACATACGTAATATACATGTGTATACATATACATTCAGTTATTTTCATAATAAACTGGCTCAATTTTTAGATTTACGTTAATAACTTTGGTTTATGACAATTTCACAACTTACCTACTGTCCATATCGTTATGGTTTTATAGAATTGATTAAGAATCAAATTTTAAAAGAATAAAATATTTCTGCCACGCACGTGTTTACACTTAACAAAAGTTTTAAACAACCATTTGAATATTCTATTCAATTCTTCATCTATTACAGAAGTGACCACTACACCGTATTCGTCATCAACCGCGACAATAACGCCATCTACAACACCATACACAACTTCGACATCTTCGTCGACAACTCCTTACGGTAAAACTTTTAAAACAATAAAAAAAAAGTCTATTCCTCTAAACAAAGTAGACTGTATAACTATCATTTCTTTGCAGAAGGAGGGTTGTTCTTCACCATTCAAAATTGTCATGTAAATAGTGTTTAAAGTGTAACCGGTAAAGCATTGCCCAGATGGTTGATAGAGGCAAAGCTAGGAAAATTTCTTGACCATTCAATTAAAGATTATAAATTCCTTGTTGCTAAATTGTCTTTAAATTTTTATGCCACTCACAGAATTTGCTGTTACGAATTTTCTGTTTCCTTTTCAGACCACTCAATCGTTTACTTCAAATCTTGTATTTGATTTTTGTTAAAGATTTTTTTCAAAAACCAACGATATCTTTTCCTAGAAACAAAAGTTAATTGAAGATGGAAGTCAAGGCGATTGTTTTCTTCAGTGGTTCTTTTTAAAAAAAAACATTTGCTGTTTATGTTTTAGTGGTGTGTGTTGACCCCGATGACATCACTGGAGACACCCTGAGCAATTATTCTGTGTCAGTGTCGGGTATTGATGACGATGGCTCGATATTAAAAGCTATAAGCTCAGACCCTGAGGCTATCTACTACCTATCAACAAGTTCAATTAGGCCGGACTTTATCAGCTACTTGTCGTTGAAGACTGCTTCGGTCAACATGATTAGGCTGACCACAAAATACGTGAACATCGTACAGTTCTTTTTCGATGATAATTCAGTTGTGAGTGTATTTCCGTTGTTTCAGAGTTTGTCTATTCAGTGCTAAGGAACATGAATACAGTTATATAGTAATATGCAATTAGAAATCGTACAATCCAAGAAAACAAGCTGATAGCATGCAATTTCGGATACGCTGCGGCACAAAGTAGTTCCTAAGCCTACGGTATTTTTCTAAATAAATTTCATTTGTACAAAATTTATAAGTTTTGATTCATTGTACAATGTATGATAATGATAAGATTTTGGCGTTTAAAATTATTTTTATCGTTTTTATGCTCTGTTTAATTGGTAAGATATGATTTATATTGTAATTAATATAAATGCTCTTCACAAGTCATAGTTTATGTTCTTCACGTGACATTTCACATAAAAAGGATATTCAGTCGTGTTCACTGTGAAATACCATGAAACAATTACATGTGTTTTAAAAAAAATACTTATTGAATTATTTGAACTAAATATGTCATAGGAACGACGTCATTTATATCTGTCGTCTTGTCGTCCTGTCTCAAACGGCATGTTGTCGTGCGGCGCGTTGTCGTGATGTCGCCCTGTCGCTTGGCTTATAAGCCAATCCTTCGATTTGAACCGAGCGACAATGTGACATCGTGACAACACCCCACAAGACAACACGCTGTTTGGCGTACATCGTTAGCGACAGGACGACAAGACAGAAGTCCGACAACGCACCGTTTTGCGCTTTGTCATGTTTTCTCTAGCGCCAACACGACGCACAAAGGTGTTCCAAATAAGCCACCATAATTGACTGATTGTTTCTCTTTCAGCTTAAAACTATTGACAACCCAAATGAGGAGTCGACAACTGAGTATCGTCCACATAAGACATTTATGGGCACAACATTTACCATCTATTTCAAGAAGCTCTCAGATGCATATTCTGAATATGATCGTCCCTACGTGAAAAACGTGTTGTTACAACTTTGTGTTGAAGAAGAGGGTGCGTTTTTTTACTTTATAACATTAAAAAAATATTGTCAAAATAGATTTAACTTGTTATTTATGCTAACTTCTAGTAAATACAAGTACAAATGTAAAGGGCTATTTAATTTTTTTTTAGAGATTTTCTTTCAAAACAGTAAAATATCTCTTTGCCTTCAAAATAAAAAGGTGCTATAGTAATTGGAGAGCTCGACCAATCGTCTGTCCGTCAGAACATACATGCTTCATTTTACTGTTGCCGTTCATGAACTAGTTTTGTTCAGAATTTGGTGTTTAAATTTTACTTGATGTTAAACTTTCAAATTATATTTTACTTAACCAATGAGTAAATTAAACAATTTCTATTCGCATTTTACATCTGTATATTTTTTTTTATGAATTAAAAATTAAAATGGACTTAAAGTGTTTGTTTATACGAATGATTTCTACCCACAAGAAATGGTTGTTATCTTAAAACAGTTCTGCAGAGACCAGAGAGTATTAAAACATAAAATTTGAAATTTTTAATTTGATCAAGTTAAGTACTTGGAATGGGAATATCTGCATAATTATAATTATATGAGTCGCGTCACGACAAAACCAACATAATGCGTTTGCGACCAGCATGGATCCAGACCAGCCTGCGCATTCGCAACTGCGGGGATGCGCAGGCTGGTCTGGATCCATGCTGGTCGCAAACCCATTATGTTGGTTTTGTCGTGACGCGGCACATATATTCAGAATTAAATTGAATGTCATTTTTTATGCGATTCTTAGTCCGATTTTAGTGAAAAGAGTTGTAACGCTTTTCAAATTAATTTCGACGTATGGCCGAGCTATCCCATTACTGTACAATCTTTTCCTTTTTAAGGTTATTTTGCAAAAATGAGTATTATAGCCGATCGGGTTGAGGGAATGATATGAAAATTTGCACACAAGATTTTAGTCCAGACCTTTATCAAATAGTGCAAAAATCTCTGGAAAATATTTCTAGTCTCGGCGTGTCAAAAATAATTGGCGCTGCCCTTTAACATTTTTTTTAAATTACGAAAGTTCACCGTAGATAATATTATCATTTGATTTCACCTTCTTTATTTTTGTAGTGATCAATACAACAACAACATTTTCAACTACCACGACAACACCATATTCAACATCATCAACAACAGAATATACATCATCTACCACTGTAAGTGATACTAGAATTTTATGTCAAATCTACGGGTTTCTTATTTAAATTCTTATTTAAATTTCGCAGGTATAATTGTTCCTGTACTCTGAAAGAGCTTAAAAGATTGCAATTATCTTTTGGTACTAGCGTAATATGACGTGGTAGAAGTATGACGCCTTCTAATTCATTTTTGTTTTTGTTTTTTTCGCGCGTGTTCTTTGAATACCGCATTATTTTCCACCATAGATCGCTTTGGTAGTCCATACTCTCTGTTTAATTATAAACAAACCTCATTTCTGTGAAGAATCAGTCCAATCTTTACAGGCCTGGGGCCGTATTCATAAAGCTCCTAAGGGAAAAATTTCCCTTAGATTCTAAGATATCCCTTAAAATACGTAAAGTTTCCCTTAGTTTTTAAGAATTTCATTAGTTGCTAGTCATAAAACTTCTTAGGATATAAATTCCTTAACATTGGCCGATTTTTCCCTTAAATATTAAGGTAGCCCATATGCTCCCTTAACTTTTAAGAGAAAAAGTTAAGGAATAAAAAAATGGCCGACTAGCAGACGATTTGTTCATTCCCTTTCTCATATGACAAATCAAGCTACTATCCATTTTTGAATCAACGGAGATTTGTAATCATTATTATCCGATGAAAATAATTCGTTCGTATATATTGTTATTTTGTATTTTTTGAAGACAATACCGTTAATAAACTGCGTCTTTCTACTTTTGTTAGCTTATGTAATAGTGGAGGTTAGTAGTCTTTAATTTCCAACCATCATATTTGACATCAGGTAAGATAAAAGCAAAACAACTACACGCCACACAAAATTGAATAACTATCTAAAATAATCCCTTCATGTAAATTACATAATTACATATTATGATGAGGAAATTTAATTAACAAATCCTTAAAGAACGATGATGTTCAGGTTATATTCGTCTGTAATTATGATGAAGAACTTTATTCCTATCATACTGTTACAATATACGTATACACATTCTTGTATGTTTTCATGATGAGAATTTCTACTTAATCAACATGTCGTAATTTGTTTTCAGGTCGCGTGTAATTATGATGAAAAACTATGTCCAGACATGACAACATGCTACAAGAAATGTAATGGTGTATTTGAATGCGATCCTCCCATCGATGATGACGAATTGGAATGCGAGAGTAAGTTTATTTAAGTGAATGGTGTTATTGGCTCTTAAACACCGGTTTGAAGTTTTGATTGCGTAGGAATTGACCACGAAGATCGTAGGCCTGAGTGGTTTATTCTTTTACCGCATCAAAACGACAAAAATTGACCACGAAGACCGTGGGCCTGAGTGGTTAATTTGTTTCGCATCAAAACGATAAAACCGGTGTTAAAGATCCTGTAACACATTTTTTCATGGTATATGATGCTCAAATTAAGATGTGTCAATATTGTAAGTTCCAATAAGCATTTTTAATAAAGATATTACCGAATTTAACATTTCATGTAAATAAAGGGAGGTAATCAGAATTTTATTTTCTGTAAATTCTAAGTCAAAATTTCCAATAAGAAATGAATGCATATAATTTATTGATTAAATATTATGTGAACAAATATTTGCAGTTCACATTTTACATATTCTTCGATGTTTGTAAATTGTTTTATTTGCATAATTATATACATATATAACTTTTTGCAAGTGTGGTATATACACAATAACAATATCAATCACAAAACATATATAGGATCTTTAAATAGCCGATTATAAACCGCTCAGACCGATATTATTTCGATTCTAACAAGAATAAATAATGAAGATCATTAATGCTTGTGGCGTTAGTGTATGTGAGATATCATGTAAGCATTATATGAAAAGAAAACATTATAAGAACGGCATATGTATATCTAGAATTTGAATTCTTAAGTTACATCTGGGAATTGATATGAAATTTATGATTTATATTCTTCTACGTTAACACCTAAAATCTATACAAGAACAACAAAAAATCTTTATATAGTAGTTATATTATGTATAATAGTGATTTATTTATAATATTCAAATGTATTGACGTTGTCTTCCTTTGGAATATACTTTTAATTATTCTATTTTTATTTCAAAATAATCAATAATGAATAAACTTGATATTTTCTTTAAAATTCGATATATGTATTTATATATGTATATTTTACATTACAGCTACAACGACGCCAACGACGACTGCTCCAACAACAACAACAATTTTCACAACAACAACAGGTAAATATTTAAAATAATGTACAAAATTTCATTGGATGGATGTATGCCACTTAATATTCTCTCAGCTCTTATGTTTGAAGGTTTAACATAATGTCTCTATGTGTTCGAATCATGCGCATTGCAGTTCGAAGGTTATGCGTAACGTGTTTGAATAAAGTGTATATAAATGTTTTCAAAGTTAGTCTTTTGATATTTCTATGTGATACCCAAGCTTAGCCACAGCCTATCTCACCTCATTTTTTTGTCCGAAATGTTTTTATTTTTTGTACGGTAGTGGATATTGCAAGGTACCGTCCACTCCCACTCGCTCCATCTTAAACAACCTTCAACATTTTATCACATTGCAGTAACAGGTTAACTCCTTATACAATTTAATACTGCACTTTAGTGACGATTTAGATATGAAAATGGTAAAAGTTTGAACTAAGGAACAGCAGCAGATGCGTTCACAAGTCACTTTAACTTCCCTTATTCTGAAGCTAGAAAAGATTTTAAGCTAACGTATCCATATCTTGAATCTGATTTATTATTCCGCATTTAAAGAAGTTCCGAAAGATGACACAGAGCACTTACTTTAATATAGTCCTTTTCATAAAATGAACGTTTCTGTATTATTTATATCATTAATTAATGTAGGTAAACTTTGTTGAAGCATAAACACTTTCTATATTGCTTTGCGATTCGCAACTTTTCAAGCCATGTATATCATGGGGGATGTGTCCCCAAAGCGTTGTAATCGGCACTCCAATTCAAGAAAGATGTCTCCCAAAAATTTTGGGAGACATTGTTTTGCCTTTGCCGTCTGTCTTGTCGTCCATCCGACCGTCCCTCCACATTAAGCTTGTCCGGCTTTCACAGGTCAAACCGCTGCCAGAATTTCATTAAAACTTGTGTACCATCCCTCGTTGTGCATATCAATGAAACTTCACATGAGTGATCAGTAGTATCCCTTGTTGTGCATATTCTAGGTACTTTCAGCTTTGCTGCACAAAATGACCCCCAGAGCTATGAATAGAACGAACAGCTTTCCCAGGTCAAACTGCTGGTGGTATTTCAATTAAACATTACAGAAGTGATGAGTATCAGTGCCATACCTATTTTGGGGAAATATGTGTTTTTGTTGTAACAAATCCCCTCTAGTTTAAAGTGTCTTCAATTCAAAATCGTCTTTGAAGACTCAAATTTGCTAACCATAAAGCTAAGCATCACTTGTTACTCGACCGATAACATCATATCACTTGGCACACAGAACACAAAGCTTTCTTAGTCATATCGTATGACTTAAACGTATAATTATGTCTTATAAAAATAAGATATTTGCTAATCTTTATTTTCATCTCATTTGAATGACTGTAATATATTGGTAAGCAACGGTTATGAGAGGAATTCATGTAATAATATTTTCGTATACTTCGTGCCTAAGATAATTTAGTTACCAAACCTTGTCTTTGGTAATACAGCTTTCATAAATAAAGAATGGCTACGATTAAGTAAAAATAACATTCTCGGTTGATTTAATCTGATATCTGATATGAAATTTTACTTTTGTGAGCTACAATTAGTAAATGTTTTAAAAATATTTCTGACCTATTTCAATCATTACTTGTAACCCAGGATATGTAACAACATTAACTTACATTTATTATACATTTATGTAACACAATTGTTGCTCCTAATGTAATGTAAATAGGATGCTTGATGGTTAGAACCAAACGAACTAATGTTTCGGTTTTTTTATTCCTTCTTTTGAATTATACTTACCATCTGATTTACAAAAGGGCTAGTTGTAAGCTTACAGTAGTTTTATTTTATTACATTTGTATTTTCTTGCATAAAATTATCGGTGCTTATCGCTAATAGAACTTTCAGATTTTTGATTATTTCTGACATCCTGAGCAAGTTTACCCTTTCCTTGCTTAAATCAAAAGTGATTATATCAGCCATTCTGCAATTGCAAATCTGTGTTTTATTACCCGGTTCTTTATAGTAAGCCAACAAACTTCAAATTTACATTTTTATATCAAGAATATTGATGATGGACATTTCATAAATCTCTTAGGGGTTAAGAATCAATAAGCTCTGAATTTTACATTTTCATTGACCAAAATGACACAGCTTCCGACAAATGTGAAGGTTTTTATCAACTGTACATAGAATTTTAGCAACCCCTTTTAACTGGTGTGCTCAATTTGATTGAAGAATAATGAAATTATTATTATTATTATTATTATTACTATTATTATATACCAAACTTCTTAAGCACTTTTTTCATGCACATTGACACGTTCAAAAGTACTGTACAATATAACCAAATAAATGATACAATATTTAAAAGAAAAAAAAATAAATTAAATCATCAATATTGCTCAAGTCACAAATTCAAAAAAAGGTAAAAAGACCCACATAAATAATAAAATTCAGGTAAGAACCTAAAACATAATCAGTCTAAATAAAAACCTCTTAAATAAGTGAGTTTTAAGTGCTCTCTTAAACACTGTTAGAGTTTCACAGCTTTTAAGTGTTCTAGGTAGGGCATTCCAGAGTTTAGGGGCTGCCGTCATAAAAACACGATCACCATAAGGCACAGTCCTACTGCGCGGTACAACAAGTGCTAAGCAATCATTCTGGGACCTAAGTTGTCTGGATGGGGTATAAAAATTGAAATAGAATATATATAACCCTCACTAAACGACATAACATTGAACTAAATGTTTGTTTTCCTCAACAAAATGTGATTTCATTCTTACGCATGAAATAGTTTTGTAATCCTAAAGCAGTTCTGCATTTATATTTTAAAAAAAACGTAGGTATCATATTGTACAGAAGTTTTTCTAGAATGAATGGTTTCTTCTTTCAGGTACAACAACTGTTACACCTTGTCTACCTGGAATGTATACATGTGAGGACGGAACTTGTATACCACCTGAACAAATATGTAATGGTCCAGAGAATTGCGACTGCATGTCATGTGAAGATGAAATGGGATGCAGTATGTACATGCGTATTTATTCAATAAAAACATATTAAAATATTTAACTACAAAACTTTCACCAATGTTCGCTTGCGGCACAAATTTGTGGTATTTAATGTTCAGTTATGACTTTGTTGGCTAGCTATTGAATACTGCTTCTTCCACGAAAATTCCAGTTGAAATAAAATGAAGCATAGATAAAATCGTTCTCATTATGAATATGTCAAGTAAGTTTGTTTTCGACTAGTATGTTAAAAGTATAGTACAATGTTGAAGGTTCATTTACAGTCACCTGATATAAATTATCACATACCACGGTCTAGAAGTCTTTATAAATTTCTGTTAAATTATGTATGAATAATAATACCCGTACAGCACCGCTCTCACTATGAGGTCATGCAATATAAGTCTCTTATTACGGCATTATGTAAAACATATTAAACAAAATTTATGATACTTGATAAAACGTAACATATTAACGTAAGCAAAAAAGACCCCACAAAACCCCACAAAAACAACATAGTGTATGATCTTTTCATTAATTGTTTTGACTTTTTAATAAAAGTAGCCAAAATAAAGTATATATGTAACCCATGTCCGCTAGTTTGTTTAGATTTATTTACTATATCCTGTACAATTTCTTTAACGAGTCTCTTTACAGAATAAACAATTTTATTGTTGAAGGACATGTACAAATGTGCAGCAGTTTATAGTTTAAATAAAAACAGAAATGATATAAACGTCAATGACATCCGACATTATGAAATATATCGTACTTTCAGCGAATACTACAACTGCATCAACTTCAACACCAACAATAACTACGTCTACTTCTTCGTCCACAACTCCAATTACAAGCTCGACACCATCATCAACTTACAGCTCTTCTTCCACAACATCAGTCACTACAACATACTCTACTCCCAGCTCCACATTTACGACCTCAGTGTCAACTACACCAACAGAAACCACAACACCCTCGTCCACGACGACTTCCAAATCTACAACTACAACATCGACAACTCCAACTACAAGCTCGACACCATACTATCATTCCAGTTCTACTTCAACAAGTGCAACAACCCCAACAACAGTTACTACACCATCATCAACTTCACAGACAACTACACAGTCTACCACACCAGAAACGACCACAAGTGAGTGCGTTGTAGAGGACGGAATGGAGACTTCTTCAAAAAAGACCAGGAGTCAAGATATAAGTGTTACAGATGTACAAGGACGTGACTTAACTTCTAATGGAACAACGACAGATAATCTGCGTCCGGATACTGATGAATATTTTAAAGTTACACCGCCAAGTTCGGAACCATACGTTTTCATAATTAGTATAACATTGGATGCCTCCAAGATTACAGATGTAAAATTAATCACGGATAATCCTTCAGAAAACATTCATTACAGTGTGACTATTGATATCCGCCCAGTAGCACAAAAGCCAAATGAAAACAGTAAGTACCTCCTTTGTTTTAGATTAAAACACAAACGAAATTGAAGCAAAATATCCTTGTATGTCGGAAGATGTAAAAGACATTATTTGTTATGTTAGGATTTGTTATTTATGCTTTTTATTATTTTTTTTCATTCTTTTCATTGATATCAAAGAAAGACAAACATGAAAATATATTAAAAAAAACATTTTTTTTATTTTGAACTGTACACTTGTAATAGAACAAATAGGGATTACCTTTGAATTGATGTTAGTATTTATTTTTTTGTTGTTTTATGTTTCAATTTCTTATCTGTAAATTTTTTCGTTCACAGAGGAAGACTGTCCATTTTTCACTAATTACAAACTAAAATCTGAAATTAATTGCCTTAATAATGGTATACCTTTTAGAATGTAAACTTATATTAAAATAAAGGCAATTTAATTCAATATTAACATCTTATATATCAATAAAAATTAGCAGGCATTTTTATCGAAAAAGAAAAACGTTAATTTATTGTTAAATTTATTCCAATATTTTGAAAAATCTATTCAACTTGATTTAAAGACATTTGTATGCGATTTAAATTGCCTTGACGTTTATTTTCATATTTAACTGCTTATCCAGTTGAAGTGTTTCCTATTTTGAAATTTCAACAATCAAATATGTTTATTGGTCATAATTATATACATCTTTAGATTATTTCTATGCAATAAAACCGAACCACTGTCGAAAGAGCAGAACGCAAGATCAGAAACTAAATTAATTTAATGATTCAACTTTTTCAGAATCTTTCAACGAGCTCTTTCATCTGTATTGGCAAAGAAGTTAAGCAAATAACTATAGAAAGTGGTTAAAAAATGAGCCTAAGGCTTTCAAACTAAGCATCCAGGGCTGTTTCAGAGGTACACTTTTTATTCCTGTAGTAATAATATTGTGCAGTTTCATATTTTATAAAATCGTTTTTTTTCTTCAGTATTATTGCCAAACTTTGTGATTTAATTTTGTTTTACAATTCAAACGATAACAAGTAATCATAACATGAAATACAAACAAGACACTATTTTATGTTTTTTTAGATATTTTCTATCGTTACTGAACGAAAAGAGAACATGCAATTAAGATTGATTCCGCAACTCAGCTATGTGTAAATATATTTTTTCATTGAAACAGTTCCAGGTTCAGGAACAACACCAACACCTCCTACAACTTCAGCTTCAACTGTTACAGCCACTACACCAACAATACCATGGTTTAGCACAACGACGCCAGCATCAACTTCAAGTAAAACTACAACAACAAAAATTACTTCAACAACACCTTCAACAACAACGTTATCAACATCTGAAACTACTAGTTGGACACCATCGTCTACTTCAAGCTCAACATCTACGACTACAGTGTCAACTACCCCGACTGAAAGCACAACACCTTCGTCAACGTCAAGCACTACATCCAAAACAACATCAACCACACCAACATCAGTAACAACACCATCCACCACACAAAGTACCGCTTCCACAAGTACAGAATCAACTACTCCGACAGAAAGCACAACACCTTCATCAACGTCAAGCACTACATCAAAAACGACATCAACGAGTCCAACAACAGTTACAACACCATCAACCACACAAAGTACCACCTCCACAACTACAGTATCAAGTACCCCGACAGAAAGCACAACACCTTCATCAACGTCAAGCACTACATCAAAAACGACATCAACGAGTCCAACAACAGTTACAACACCATCATCCACACAAAGTACCACCTCCACAAGCACAGTATCAACTACCCCGACTGAAAGCACTACAACACCCTCAACAACGTCTCCAACAAGCTCGACACCATACTATCATTCCAGTTCTACTTCAACAAGTGCAACAACCCCAACAACAGTTACTACACCATCATCAACTTCACAGACAACTACACAGTCTACCACACCAGAAACGACCACAAGTGAGTGCGTTGTAGAGGACGGAATGGAGACTTCTTCAAAAAAGACCAGGAGTCAAGATATAAGTGTTACAGATGTACAAGGACGTGACTTAACTTCTAATGGAACAACGACAGATAATCTGCGTCCGGATACTGATGAATATTTTAAAGTTACACCTCCCAGCTCGGAACCATACGTTTTTATAATTAATATAACATTGGACGCCTCCAAGATTACAGACGTAAAATTAATCACGGATAATCCTTCAGAAAACATTCATTACAGTGTGACTATTGATATCCGCAATAGCACAAAGCCAACTGAAACAGTAAGTACCTCCGTTGTTTAGATTACAACACAAACGAAATTGAAGCAAACTATCCTTGTATGTCGGAAGATGTTAAGACATAATTTGTTATGTTAGATTTGTTATCAATGCTTTATTATTTTTTAGCTCCCCTGTCACAAAGTCACAAAGTGACAGGGTGAGCTTTTGTGATCGCTTTTCGTCCGGCGTCCGTCCGTCCGTCCGTCCGTCGTCCGTCCGTAAACTTTTGCTTTAAATGACATCTCCTCATAAACCACTGAGCCAATTTCATCCAAACTTCACAGGAATGTTCCTTTGGTGGTCACCTTTAAAAATTGTTCAAAGAATTTAATTCCATGTAGAACTCTGGTTGCCATGGCAACCGAAAGAAAAATCTTTAAATATCTTCTTTTAAACAACCCCTAAGAGCTAGAGCTTAGATATTTGGCATGAAACATCTTCTAATGAGTGTCTACCAAGTTTGTTCAAATAAAAGCCCTGGGGTCAAAATTGGCCCCGCCCGGGGGGTCATTGATTTTCCCTATATGCATATAGTAAAAACTTAAAAAAAATCTTCTTTTAAAAGAACTGTAAGAGCTAGAGCTAAGATATTTGGCATGGAACATCTTCTAGTGAGTGTCTACCAAGTTTGTTCAATAAAAGCCCTGGGGTCAAAATTGGCCCCGCCCCAGGGGTCATTGATTTTCCCTATATGCATAAAGTAAAAACTTAAAAAATTTCTTTTAAAGAACCTAAAGAAGCTAGAGCTTAGATATTTGGCATGAAACATTTTCTAGTGAATGTCTACCAAGTTTGTTCAAGTAAAAGCCCTGGGGTCAAAATTGGCCCCGCCCTGGGGGGTAATTGATTTTCCCTATATGCATATAGTAAAAACTCAAAAAAATCTTCTTTTAAAGAACCGTAAGAGCTAGAGCTTAGATATTTGTCATAAAACATCTTCTAGTAAATGTCTACCAAGTTTGTTCAAATAAAAGCCCTGGGGTCAAAATTGGCCCCGCCCCAGGGGGTCATTGATTTTCCCTATATGCATATAGTAAAAACTTTTAAAATCTTCTTTAAAAGAATCGTAAGGGCTAGAGCTTAGATATTTGGCATGAAACATCTTCTAGTGAATGTCTACCAAGTTTGTTCAAATAAAAGCCCTGGGGTCAAAATTGGCCCCGCCCCAGGGGGTCATTGATTTTCCTTATATGCATATAGTAAAAACTTATAAAATCTTCTTTTAAAGAACCCAAAGAGCTAGAGCTAAGATATTTTAGCATGAGACATGTTCTAATGGGTGTCTACCAAGTATGTTCAAATAAAAGCCCTGGGGTCAAAACTGGCCCGCCCCGGGGGTCATTGTTTTTCCTTATATACATAGCAAAAACTTAAAAATCTTCTTTGAAAAAACCCAAATAACTAGAGTTTAGATATTAAGCATAAAACATCTTTAAGTAAATATCTACAAAGTTTGTTCAAATAAAAGCCCAGGGGTCAAAACTGGCCCTGCCCGAGGGGTGTCATTGTTTTTAACTATATGTGTATAGTAAAAACTTAAAAAATCTTCTTTTAAAAAACCCAATGAGCTAGAACTAAGATGTTTTGCATGAAACATCTTCTTATGGGTGTCTACCAAGTCTGTTCAAATAAACAAATAAAAGCCCTTGGGTAAAAATTGGGCCGGGGGGGCTATATACAGGTGAGCGACCTCAGGACCATCATGGCCCTCTTGTTTATTCCTTTCATTGATATCAAAGAAAGACAAACATGAATATATTAAAAAAACATTTTTTTTATTTTGAACTGTACACTTGTAATAGAACAAATAAGGGATTACCTTTGAATTGATGTTAGTATTTAATTTTTTGTTGTCTTTATGTTTCAATTTCTTATCTGTAAATATTTCGTACACAGAGGAAGACTGTCCATTTTGCACTATTACAAACTAAAATCTGAAATTATTACCTAATAATGGTATACTTTTGAATGCTAACGTATATTAAATGAAGGCAATTAATCAATATTAACATCTAATACGATGTATATCAATAAAAAATTAACAGGCATTTTATCGAAAAAGAAAAACGTTAATTTATTGTTAAATTTATTCCAACATTTGAAAAACTATTCAACTTGATTTCAAGAAATTTGTATGCGATTCCATTGCCTTGACGCTATTTTCATATTAAACTGCTATCAAGTTGAAGTGTTTCCTATTTTGAAATTTCAATAATCAATATATGTATCGTAATATACACCTTAAGATTATTTCTATGCAATAAACCGACCACTGTCGAAAGAGCAGAACGCAAAATCAGAAACTAAATGCAATTTATCACTCAACTTTTCAGAATCTTTCAACGAGCTCTTCATCTGTGTTTGAAAAAGAAGTTAAGCAAATAACTATAGAAGTGGTAATAAATGAGCCTAAGGCTTTCAAACTAAGCATCCAGGGCTGTTTCAGAGGTAAACTTTTTATTCCTGTAGTAATAATATTGTGCAATTTCATGTTTCATATAATCGATTGTCCTCTTCAGTATTATTGCCGAACTTTGTGATTTATATTTGTTTTACAGTTCAAACGATAAAAAGAAATCATAGAATGAAATACAAACAAGACACTATTTATGTTTTTAGATATTTTCTATCGTTACTAAACGAAAATAGAACATGCATTTAAGATTGATTCCGCAACTCAGCTATGTATAAATATATTTGTATAAATATATTTTTATTTAAACAGTTCCAGGTTCAGGAACAACACCAACACCTCCTACAACTTCAGCTTCAACTGTTACAATCACTATACCCACATTGCCAACGTTTAGCACAACGACGCCAGTATCTACTTCAAGTGAAACTTCAACAAACAACATTACTTCAACGACACCTTCAACAACAAAGTTTTCAACATCTGAAACTACTAGTTGGACACCATCGTCTACTTCAAGCTCAAACATCTACGACTACAGTGTCAACTACCCCGACTGAAAGCACAACACCTTCGTCAACGTCAAGCACTACATCAAAAACGACATCAACCACACCAACAACAGTTACAACACCATCAACCACACAAAGTACCACAGCCACAACAACTGTATCAACTACCCCGACTGAAAGCACAACACCTTCGTCAACGTCAAGCACTACATCAAAAACGACATCAACCACACCAACAACAGTTACAACACCATCAAACCACACAAAAGTACCACAGCCACAACAACAGGTATCAACTACCCGACGAACAGGAAGCACAACACCTTCGTCAACGTCAATCACTACATCAAAATAACGACATCAACAAAGTTCCAACAACAGTTACAACACCATCAACCACACAAAGTACCCACCTCAACAACTACAGTATCAACTACCCCGACAGAAAGCACAACACCTTCAATCAACGTCAAGCACTACATCAAAAACAACAATCAAACAAGTCCAACAACAGTTACAACACCATCACCACACAAAGTACCACCTCACAACTACAGTTATCAACTACCCCGACTGAAAGCACAACACCTTCGTCAACGTCAAGCACTACATCAAAAACGACATCAAACAAGTCCAACAGTTACAACACCAATCAAAACCACACAAAGTACCACCTCCACAACTACAGTAATCAACTACCCCCCGACTGAAAGCACAACACCTTTCGGGGGTCGAACGCCCAGCGCTACAACAACCTTCAACCAAGTCTCCAACTACAGGCTTACACCATACTCTCTTCCCAGTTCTACTTCAACAAGTGCAACAACCCAACAACAGTTTACTACACCATCATCAACCTTCACAAACAACTACACAGTCTACACATCAGCAACGACCCCAACTTTTGGACGAAGAAGGAATGGAGACTTCCTCAAATAAGGACTAGGAGTCAAGATATAAGTGTTTTGTAACAGATTGTACGAAGGACGTGAACTTAACTTCTATGGGAACAACGACAGATAATCTGCGTCCGGATACTGATGAATATTTTGAAGTTTCACCGCCAAGCTCGGAACCATACGTTTTCATAATTAATATAGCAGTGGATGCCATCAACATTACAGATGTAAAATTAATTACGGATAATCCTTCAGAAAACATTCAGTACGCTGTGACTCTTGAAATGAAGAACAAAACGCTAGTAGAAGAAGTAAGTTTCTCCTTTGTTTAGATTACAACACAAACTTAATTGCAGAGAAATACCTTTGTATGTCGGAAGATCTATGTAAAGACATAATTTACTATATTACATTAGTTATTAAAGTTTTTTTTAATTTCTTTTATTGATAACAGAGAAAGACAAGCATAAGTACATCAAAATACAATTTTTTTTAATTGAATTGTACTCATAATTAAGAACAAATAAGGGAATATACTTTTGAAGTGATGTTAGTATTTAATTGTCTGTTGCTTTTACGTTTCAATTTCTTATCTGTAAATATTTCGTTTACAGATGAAGACTGTCAATTTTGCACTATAAAAAACTTAAGGTATTACCACCCTAATGGGCACTATAAGGAACAAAAAAAATTGACATTATAGGTCAGATATATACCTTACAGTACAACTGTATACAAAATTTAAACAAAGTTTACCGTACGGAAATCTAGTTATGGCCACTTTTCTGAACTCAAGCTTGGATGTTATGAGGGTCTTTTTTTAGAAATGAGGAACCTTTAAATAATCTGCAATAACATTCTAATGAAAATTGTTTTCCCATTATTTTTTGGTAAGAAACAAATAGTACCATTCAGCTAACAATTCACATAAGAAAAATATGGTTTCTACTTAAAATTTATGAAATCTGTATAAAAATGTTACGCTACCCAACCCATTTTTACCACGTGTCTGATCATTTTCCTTCTTAGGCAGCCTAATTAAAAATATCCTTAAAATTTACCCAAATGAGTGCCTGTTTTCAAAGTTTCCCTAATTTTTTATAAAAGTATATTGGTTGATCTTGTAAAATATTAAATACTTTTACCGTCTAGTTTTGTTTTTTTTACATTTTGAAAATATCAGGTACCATATTTATTACTATATTTAGCACAATTTAGCCAATAAATACATATATAAATTTAAAAAAATCAAAATTAAACACTTTTTTCATTCCAAATGGGACATGAGAGATACATAAATAATGTTAAAAGAAAAAAAAGTTGACCCTTCTGGGGATTGAACCCACGGCCCTCATTTTCAATGTAGTTAACAGTAGTTCTAGCCTATTTGAATACTCTACAAAGAGGAGGTAATGCATTAGGATGGTAATACCTTAAATCTTGAATAATTATTTGAAGAAAATCGATCAATATATAACATCTATTATATAAAGAGATATTGTAGGGGAATTTTATCAAAAAGGAAAAACGTTAATTTATTGATAAATTTATTCCAACATTTGAAATATCTATTCAACTTGATTTTAAGACATTTGTATGCGATTCCATTGACTTGACTCTATTTTCATATTAAACTGCTATCAAGTTGAAGTGTTTCCTATTTTAAAATTTCAATAATCAATATATGTATCGTCATATACATCTTAAGATTATTTCTATGTAATAAATTGACCACTGTCGAAAGAGCAGAACGCAAAATCAGAAACTAAATGCAATTTATCATTCAACTTTTCAGAATCTTTCAACGAGCTCTTCATCTGTATTTGTAAAAGAAGTTGGGCAAATAACTATAGAAGTGGTAATAAATGAGCCTAAGGCTTTCAAACTAAGCATCCATGGTTGTTTCAGAGGTATACTTTTATTCCTGTAGTAATAATATTGTGCAGTTTCATGTTTCATATAATCGATTGTTCTCTTCAGTATTATTGCCAAACTTTGTGATTTATATTTGTTTTACAATTCAAACGATAAAAAGTAATCATAACATGAAATACAAACAAGACAATATGTTTTTTTTAAATATTTTCTATCGTTACTGAACGAAAATAGAACATGCATTTAAGATTGATTCCGCAACTCTGCTATGTATAAATATATTTTTATTTAAACAGTTCCAGGTTCAGGAACAACACCAACACCTCCTACAACTTCAGCTTCAACTGTTACAATCACTATACCCACATTGCCAACGTTTAGTACAACGACGCCAGTATCTACTTCAAGTAAAACTTCAACAACAACAATTACTTCAACGACACCTTCAACAACAAAGTTTTCAACATCTGAAACTACTAGTTGGACACCATCGTCTACTTCAAGCTCAACATCTACGACTACAGTGTCAACTACCCCGACTGAAAGCACAACACCTTCGTCAACGTCAAGCACTACATCAAAAACGACATCAACCACACCAACAACAGTTACAACACCATCAACCACACAAAGTACCACCTCCACAACTACAGTATCAACTACCCCGACAGAAAGCACAACACCTTCGTCAACGTCAAGCACTACATCAAAAACGACATCAACAAGTCCAACAACAGTTACAACACCATCAACCACACAAAGTACCACCTCCACAACTACAGTATCAACTACCCCGACTGAAAGCACAACACCTTCGTCAACGTCAAGCACTACATCAACAACGACATCAACCACACCAACAACAGTTACAACACCATCAACCACACAAAGTACCACCTCCACAACGACAGTATCAACTACCCCGACAGAAAGCACAACACCTTCGTCAACGTCAAGCACTACATCAAAAACGACATCAACAAGTCCAACAACAGTTACAACACCATCAACCACACAAAGTACCACCTCCACAACGACAGTATCAACTACCCCGACAGAGAGCACAACACCTTTATCTTCTCGAAGTACAGCATCAACCACAACAGTATCAACATCTCCAACTACAAGTCCGACACCAACATCACCGTCCACTACTGTTCCTCCATGTAAAGTTTACGAAGGAATGTTTAAAGAGGCTTCAAATGTTTCAAAGATTCCAGATAAAAACATAAATATAACGAATAGCAACGGAGACAGTCTTTTAGATAATGATGATCAAAAGACGTCTTTGAGGCCAGGTAGGGATGGTATGCTGACAATTACCGCTGCAAGTCCTGTTGACATAAATGTTCGTGTAAATGCAAGGGAACTTGTTAACATCACCTTGGTTAATGGTAATGATGAGAAAAGATTTACGTATGAAGTGACATTGCATTTTGAGAATGAAACATCATCGATATTACCAAATACGGTAAGATCTCTGTCCAAGGGAACTTTTTTAAAGCAGATATTATTTCAAAAATCACGCTCTAGTATAGATATAAGAACAACATAATAAGTGAAAGTGATTTGAGTAGAGCTCAAGCCGGTGCTAGGGGCGTGAGGGATATTGTACTTTTTCATTATCTTTTATGTGCAGAATCCAGCAAACCAAGTCTGCAATTTTCATGTAATTTAGTTTAAAATATTTTAGTTGATCCTGGTTTTTATGCTTTCTTAGATACGTTGATGACACATAATTTTACGACCTTATGCATTATCATATTGACTTTGTATATAATTACTGTATGTATAAGACACAGTCATTTACGAGCCTTACAATATCATAGAGACGATGTTAAGAGGTGTAATAGGCACATTAATCAACAAGTAATATCACATCGGCGCTCGTTTGATGTGTATAAAACACACGTAATTTTCGAAATATATCATATTTATATATACGCTATTCAGATATGTATAGGAGACCATAAATAGCAAGTTATATGATATCATAGAGACGTTCTTTTGGGCGCATTAATTTATAAGCTGTGTATTATCACACATACTCTTTGCCAGAATTTTACAGCCTGACAAGAAATAGAAAGATACAAACAATTCTTTTACATTTTTTTTTACTCCATGGCAAATACCGTTGATAATTAAATCGACTTCTTTTTGCAAACTTGATTTCAATGAAACAAAATGATTGATGTGAATTTGATTTTGATTTTTCTAGTATCAGGACTCCAGTACTGCTGTTATTAACGAGGCTAATGTGACATATGTTACAATTAGAATAACCGACTATGTAGCTCCAATTACTATAAAGGAACTCAGTATATTTGCATGTTTTAAAGGTAAGAACATATTTGTATTGAATGCTCTTTTACTAAGATTGATTTAATAATTACTTTAGATAATTTGGTCAGACAACTGAATTATTTTAATTATTTAACGATTTGTCTTTCAAAGTCATTTTGAAAGAAAATATATTCGGTTGGTCATGGTGTGTGACGTCTAAAAAACTTAGGATGTGTTTTTATAATAACATTATAAAATATTAATTTAATTCTACATTTGATATAGGTTTTACTAGATTCTTTATATATTGAGATTTCTGGAGATACGATTCGGGGTTAATCCATACAACACGGGCTCTAAAGTAGTTAGGCTTTAAAAACTCACAAAGGAGAGCAGCATAGTCTATTTATAGAATTTTCTTCAGAGGAATTTCTTAACATTATGTTAATGCTTTTTTTTAATTTTATCTTTCTTTATATAGGTGAACCGGTAAAAAACACCTACCCCAAAAACAACAAACTCCGAAAAACAGCTGTACAACAACAAAAAACGCTGCCGACATTCACAACCAACCCCCAGCAAAAAAATTTTCCCATTACCCAAAGTACAACACTTTTTTTTAAATTTTTTTTTTTTTCGACAAAAGGCAGGGAAACTGCACATAAATAAACCCTTTATATCCCTGACTAAAACATACGGTCCCCCAATGTAAAACGGTAAAGGATTTTAACCCAAATAAGGGGACAAAAAAAAAGGGAAAATTAACCTTATAAAAATGAAAAGCACTTTCTTTCCTAATAAATGTTCCAGCCCCGTTATTGTCTCACTAGATATGAAAGCTTCGGTACTGAGTACATTTAGAACTGTTCACACAGGAGACAAGTAACAACATAGAATATGAAATCATCATTTCATTTCGAAAATGGAACCGAGTCCTATAAGTTAAACGATACGGTATGTTCGTTTCTTTTTTTTTAAATATTGGAAATTAAGGCAGTTAATGAAGTTATGTCAGGTTTTTTTTTTTAATTAATGATTCTTTTATCATGTTCAAATATCATGCAACGTTGAAATTTTCAAATTAAATTTAAATTCATTCTCCCTATATTTTCTATGTAAATATGTTAATCCTAGCACAAGGGTTTTAAATGATTATGCTATCATAATTGTGGTTTGTTTCTTGTTTTCAGTACCTGGGCAATACTAAAGTAAAGATAGATGCGGACAACGTGATAAATGTCAAATTAAACATTAGTGTCTTCACACCACCCTTTGGTTTCTACATAAGCGTCCGTGGCTGCTTTAACAGTGTGTATTTTTGTTCTCATTCTTAAATGGAAAGATATATCAACAGATAAAAAAATAATTTATTGTAATAATACAATAACTTTTATTATAAAGTACAATTACATATTGTGACTGCATTTATCGGTTTTTGAGCTCATTAGAAAATATAAACATATGTCAAAACAAGCATTTGAATAAAGCTACAGGCATACACAATAAGCATTATTTTCTCACCTGAGTATATTAGTCCTTAAATAGTTTGGAATGAAAGATAAAGACAACAATATATATTTCAGCCCCAGAGGAACCAACAGTACCACCGACAACATCTACAACAAGTCAAACAACAACAACATCGAAATCAACATATACAACGCCAACAACAAGTACAACACCAAGTACTACAAGCCCAACAACGTCGACAACATCTAGTACAACAAGCACAACACCAAGTACTACAAGCCCAACAACATCTAGTACAACAAGCACAACACCAAGTACTACAAGCCCAACAACGTCGACACAACATCTAGTACTACAAGCCAACAACGTCGACAACAATCTAGTACAACAAGCACAACACCAATTACTACAAGCCCAACAACGTCAACCACATCCTAGTACAACAAGCACAACACCAAGTACTACAAGCCCAACAACATCAGTACAACAAGTAACAACAAGCACAACACAAGTACTACAAAAGCCCAAACAACGTCAACACACATATAGTACTACAAGCCCAACAACGTCGACAACATTTAGCTACAAAAAGCACAACACCAAGTACTACTAGCCCAACAACAGTCAACCACATCTAGTAGCTACAAGCCCAACAACGTCAACCACATCTAGTACTAACAAGCCCAACAACGTCAACAACATCTAGTACAACAAGCACAACACCAAGTACTACAAGCCCAACCACGTCAACCAACATCAAGTACAACAAGCACAACACAACTACAACAAGTCAACACATCGTCAACCACATAATAGTACAACAAGCACAACACCAAGTACTACAAGCAAACCACGTCAACAACATCAGTACAACAAGCACAACACCAAGTACTACAAGGTCCCAACAACATCACATCAGGTACAACAAGCACACACCAAGTACTACAAGCCCAACAACATACATCTAGTACAACAAGTACCAACACCAAGTACTAACAAACGACGTCAGCCCAACAAACGTCCAACCAAACATCTAGTACAACAAGCACAACGCCAAGTACTACAAGCACAAACGACGTTAAACCACATTCAAGTACAACACTAAGTACTACAAGCCCAACAACAATCTCAACCACATCTAGTACAACAAGTACAACACCAAGTACTACAAAGCCCAACCACGTCAATCCACATCTAGGTACAACAAGTACAACACCAAGTACTACAAGCCCAACCAACGTCAACACGTCAAGTACAACAAGCACGACACCAAGTACTAAGTACAAGCCCAACTTCACATCAAGTACAACAAGTCCAACAAACGTCAACACATCAAGTAACAACATCAAGTACTACAAGCCCAACAACGTCAACTACATCAAGTACAACAAGCCCAACAACGTCAACTACACCAAGTACTACAAACCCAACGACGTCAACCACATCAAGGACAACAAGTACAACACCAAGTACTACAAGCCCAACAACGTCAACCACATCAAGTACAACAAGCCCAACAACGTCAACCACATCAAGTACAACAAGTCCAACAACGTCAACCACATCAAGTACAACAAGCACAACACCAAGTACTACAAGCCCAACAACGTCAACTACACCAAGTACTACAAGCCCAACAACGTCAACCACATCTAGTACAACAAGCCCAACAACGTCAACCACATCAAGTACAACAAGCACAACACCAAGTACTACAAGCCCAACAACGTCAACAACATTCAAGTACATACAAGCCTCAACAACCGGTCAACTCACAGTCAAGTACATACAAGCCCCAACAACGTCAACCACATCAAGTACAACAAGCACAAACACCAAGTACTACAAGCCCAACAAGCCGTCCAACTACATCAAGGTTAACACCAAGTACTACAAGGCCCAAAACGTCAACGCACATCACAACAAGTACAAAGCATCAAGTACTAGCAAGCCCAACAACGTCAACACATCAGGCTACAACAAGCCCAACAACGTCAACTACATCAAGTACTACAAGCCCAACAACGTCAACCACATCAGGCACAACAAGTCAAACAACGTCAACCACATCTAGTACAACAAGCACAACACCAAGTACTACAAGCCCAACAACGTCAACCACACCAAGTACAACAAGCACAACATCAAGTACTTCAAGCCCAACAACGTCAACAACATCTAGTACAACAAGCACAACACCAAGTACTACAAGCCCAACAACGTCAACTACATCTAGTACAACAAGTCCAACAACGTCAACCACATCAAGTACAACAAGCACAACATCAAGTACAACAAGTCCAACAACGTCAATCTCATCTAGTACAACAAGCACAACACCAAGTACTACAAGCCCCACAACGTCAACTACATCAAGTACAACAACAAGTACTACAAGTCCAACAACGTCAATCTCATCTAGTACAACAAGCCCAACAACAAGTACAGTAAGTGAAACAACGTCAACCACATCGTTCACAACACCAAGTTCTACCACACCTTCAAGTACGATAAGCACAACAGTTACTCCAACGTACACACCAAGTACTACCGGTAAGAAATGTTTTGTTATATATCTAATTGATTTAATTGCTACTGTTGTTATTAAAGTTGTTTTTGTCATCAGTCCATTTTTAGTATTTCCGTTATGAATTACTCACAAACACTGGCTTTAGATAAATTGTAAAAACTTAATGTACAACTACAAAATATAATATTTATAATTGTAATTTATAACGACAACACAATATTATGGGTTTAGACAGAACAAACGTGTCACAATGCTAGAAAGTACGATTTTACTTATATTGGCAACCTGACCACAACACTATATTATGTGTTGCAACAGTACGAACATAATACACATCTATAACACACGAATGTACTTATATTGGCAACCTCATTACAACCTGATGTATTGCAACAGCACAACCGTAAAGCACAGCTACAAAACATAATCGTACTTACAATTGTCATCCACATCAAAACATACTTAGTTGCAATAATATAAACGTTCTTACATAATAGTACTTTGCAATGTCTTCGCAACAGTCTTTGTTGCAACAACATTAAGTAATCTTCAAATACAGAAAAAAAATGTACTGACATTGGAAATCACATTACATTTTTTTGTGTTTCAACTAATTCTTGAAGGTAGAGGTTTGTGTACGAATCCTTGCATTTTTGTGTTCTTGCAAACCTCTCACTGCCTAAGAGGGTGTACGTCATATTTCAATCGAAAATTTAATGACAAAACGATAAATAAAAATCATCCGTAACACGGTTATAAGCTTCACATAAGAAACAATGTCATGATTATAAACAAACTAAGGTTAGTCATATTTAATATATTTCTAAATCAGCTTCTAACACCACGATTCATATATAAACGTTGCAAGATGTGAACTGTAGCCAGTTTGACAACTTATATACTTACAACTTCTACTTAATCGTCAGCAAACTCGTTTTCAACAATTCTGGAACGATATCAGAATCATCATCAAATGTCACATCTTCGGCATCAGCAGTCTATGTCCTCGCGAGGGATTTAACAGAGAAGAACTACAGTTGGGTGCGCCTAAAGATACATCAATTATTCCTCTGGAAGAAAGAACTCGACTTATTCAGCATCTGTTGTGCACAAGCATTTTATCAATTGCTTTTATATTATTTTACACATCATCACTTGGCGAGAATCTAGTTAATTGTGTCGTCACCTCCGTTATCTTGTAAAATTCAACGCTCTGGAATGACCAGGAGTAACGAAAAGCCTTGTTCAAGACAAACGTTGGATAGGGATGGAGACAAAGTGTTCCGAGTATGTACGCATTGTGTAGGAAAGGCTTCAGCTTGAATATCGCTGTTGCTGCAGGTATTGTGTTTCACATTAGCTATATCTGTGGTAACTACGATATTTTGGCTGTTTTGTAACATCTTTTGGTGAGGAAAGCGTGCATTTTTCTTACTGTAATTGATAGTGGTACATGCATTTGGACGATGAATGTAAACGAGTATACTATCTGGTTTTGAGGCTGTCGAATGAAGATATGACATTATTTTAAGGCAATCTTTTAAGGGAATGATATTGTTTGTAGGTGAAAAGAGGGTCTGATCTTATCAAGGTGATCAAAGTTAGATATGACATTGATTTAAAGCGATTATTTTCCACACAAAAAAACGCTTGTCTTATAATTTAACATGTCTAAACACCAATTAAATATTATTCTTACAGGATAGCTAGTCAGATATCAGTATTTAAAATGTTCAAGAGATCAACAGAAGCAGCAAACCTATATAAATTCATTCAATTCAGGCATATGTAAGGGGATGAAATTTGACACAAAAAAATTATGCCAACAATTAATTTTATATCGTAATCGTCATAATAAGGGAGAAAAAAACGACTCGTTTACAAAGTAGTAATATCTGAATAGACATTTGCTTGTTATAAACAAGATTCATGTTATTTAAGATAATCTTTCTTGTCAAGATGTCCGTCCGTAGACTATATTATTTCACTTCTTAAACACATGGTTCATTTCGCCACTTTTTGTTTTTTTATAAGATGAATATTTTACTTGTTTAATAATTTTCTTGACAATAACTTCATTTTGTCAACAATAACTTGATATGTTCACAATAATAACACTTTATTTTATACTTATCTCCACTCATTTTCAACTTGTTTTCGTTGCTTTATCTCGGTGCAACCTATCAATTTCCTCATTCACAGATATGCCAATCGTTAACAGTGCTACTTTATTGATATCAAATTTATTTTCAGTGATCAACATTAACTTTAACTTAACAAAAACATTTTACCTCTTTACAACCATGATACAACTTGTTTACATTTATTTTATTTGTTAACAACCATTTTAACTTCTTAACATTTTATATCATTTTCCTTCAAATTATTGATTACAATTAATTAATTTCTTTACCGCATTTTAACTGGTTTACATTTTATTCATTTCTTTTTAACTTTTTACTAGTTTACAATCATTTGATTCCGCTGCATTGTTTCATCTTTGCACATTATTTTTTTATTTATGTCGATCATTTACAAATATTTTAACTACATGTATTTACATTGATTTTATTTCTTTGAAACATGTTATTTCTTTACCATATATGCGTTTCTATATAACAATGTTTGCTTGTTTATGTCTTCCAGTATGTAACGAGGAGGATGGTATGGAGAAACCTTATTACATACCAAGTAACAATATTGCTTTCCCAAATCACGAAGAACTTGCATCACTTGAAAAAGAGTCACTAAGACCGGGCACGTCTGGCAATCTTACCGTCTCTAATCCCGATGAAAGTGGCTTTGTTTCTAACATAAGTCTTCACGAAAATGACATCATTAATTCTGTGAAATTACCACTTCATGAGGGTGTCCAAAAATTCCAAGTACATTACATGTCTAGAACTAATCCAGGCACATGGGAATTGCTGCGTACTGAAGTTAACAAGGTACGTAACCCTATAAAATTTCTTCCCAGAGTTAGGAGTTATCGTTCCTTTTTAGGAAGGGGGACAATAATGCCAAATTCCTTACGAATACAAACAAACAATACCTAAGACAAGTGCTATATCGGGTTTTATCCAGCAAGTTTTGGTATAGTATATTTAATATGCTTTACATTTGAAACGAAATACTTATATTGTTGAAAAATAAAATATTTTTATTGTTTAATAATAATTTAATAGATTTGAATATGAAACTACAAAACTAAACAAACATATCATATCAAGTCTGATTAAATGCATGCGGTGCAGTGCAGACTGATATTGCTCAGTATTGGTCAGTTTAATAACCATTTCCGCTATCCATCGCGCACTTAGATCTCTAAAACATGGTTAAACATTGCCAGAGCATTGGTTAGTTTACTTTTAATGATTACTGTATTTTTTATCTGTGTATTTTTTTTTCCACAGGATTATTTCCTTCCTGAAGAGATAGCTGTATTCCGTCCAGATCGTCATGATCTCACTAACTTAAAGATAACAATATTCATCAAACCGGGATATAGCAAAATGGAAATCAAATTGTCAGTTTTCGGGTGCTATGGAAAACGTGAGTATATTAACGTCGTCGATAATATTTATAGGTTCAATTAGTTAAACTTTATATTGTATATAAGTAATATAGCTTCAATATTGGATATATGATTGTGTTTATGTTTAAATATTCCCATAGTATTGATTTGTAAGTGTGGCTTTTAAGCAAACTGGCTTAGTATACGTAATTTTCATCCGGCATTGTCAGTAAAGACTGCAGTTGTTCCCTTTAAATACTTGTAAAATAAAAACAATAAATCCTGGTGGCTACAATCAGTGGGAGCAATAATATCAATATCTAAAATATTCTGAGTAACAACTGTCTGAGCTTTATTGTCAATTTTTGCTAGGTTATTCAATTTGAAAAGGCGACAACAATAATGGCCTTTTTACAAAGAATGTTAACCATCTGTATTAAATCAGTGTATACCTATATTATAAATTTATTACATCCGTTGGTCTTGGACTTTTTCAAAGAATGCTTTTGTTTTAATTGAAAATATGCAAATAAAATGATGATTTGGTAATTATCTTATTTTCCTATTTAAACAATATTTACCAAAGTCCCTTTAGGTACATATTTGTTTTTTTTGGTCGTAATGTTTTCACCAAATGATAACTTGCATCACCATTCCCCGTATTGGTAAAAGCACATAATACATGAACAATGACTCAAGTTATAAATAAAAAGCAGTAATAAAATTAATGATGAAACAATGCTTTTTGGATAGGGTCAACATTTACAACAGTTACATCAACACCAAGTACTACAACGTCAACCACATCTAGTACAACAAGCCCAACAACGTCAACAACATCTAGTACAACAAGCACAACACAAAGTACTACAAGTCCAACAACATCAACCACATCAAGTACAGTAAGCACAACACCAAGTACTACAAGCCTAACGACGTCAACCACATCTAGTACAACAAGCACAACACCAAGTACTACAAGCCCAACAACGTCAACCACATCTAGTACAACAAGCACAACACCAAGTTCTACAAGCCCAACGACGTCAACCACATCTAGTACAACAAGCACAACACCAAGTACCACAAGTCTAACAACGTCAACCACATCTAGTACAACACTAAGTAACTACTACAACAGCGAGTCAACAACTCTAAAGTCCAACAAAGCCCAACAACGTTCAACCACATCAAGTACAACAAGCACAACACCAAGTACTACAAGTCCAACAACGTCAACCACATCTGGTACAACACCAAGTACTACAAGCCCAACAACGTCAACCACATCTAGTACAACAAGCACAACACCAAGTACCACAAGTCCAACAACGTCAACAACATCTAGTACAACACCAAGTACTACAAGTCCAACAACGTCAACCACATCTAGTACAACAAGCACCACACCAAGTTCTACAAGCCCAACAACGACAACCACATCTAGTACAACAAGCACAACAACCAAGTTCTACAAGCCCAACAACGTCAACCACATCTAGTACAACAAGCACAACATCAAGTACTACAAGCCCAACAACTTCAACCACATTTAAGTACAACAAGCACAACACCAAGTACTACAAGTCCCGACAACGTCAACCCACATCTAGTACAACAAGCACAAACACCAAGTACTACAAGCCCAACAACGTCAACCACATCTAGTACAACAAGCACAACATTCAAGTACCTACAAGCCTAACGACGTCAACCACATCAAGTACAACAAGTACAACACCAAGTACTACAAGTCCAACAACGTCAACCACATCTAGTACAACAAGCACAACACCAAGTACTACAAGCCCAACAACGTCAACCACATCTAGTACAACAAGCACAACACCAAGTACTACAAGCCCAACAACGTCAACCACATCTAGTACAACAAGCACAACACCAAGTACTACAAGCCCAACAACGTCAACCACATCTAGTACAACAAGCACAACACCAAGTACTACAAGTCCAACAACGTCAACCACATCTAGTACAACAAGTACAACACCAAGTACTACAAGCTTATCGACATCAACATCAACAAGTACATCCACCTCACCAACAACTTCCTCAACACCGTCAACCACTTCTTACACCACTACTGTAAGCAGTACAACCGAAGGATATTGCGTTGATGAAGGTATGCTCATGAACGAGCAAAATGAAACATATATACCTGATAACTATATACAAGTCACTAACAGCTTAGGTGAGGATTTAACAAATGGCGGCAAACTTACTAAAAACTTGAGAAATCAAGATGAAAACTACTTGACAATAGATGCGCAGGCTCCGGTAAATATGTCATTCACAATGAACGCAACTACGCTTTCCCTGGTGAAACTTTTGACAGAAAGAAGCAATAAAAATATAGCATATCAACTGATTTTGGATTATGCCAATACTGAAGAGCCAGAAGTTTATACAGACGTGGTATGTATAAAAAAAAACTTTCCTAAATGAAATTATATTATTTCCTATTGTTAGAGATACGGATAAAAGTAATCTTATTTTATTTTAGTGTGTTAACTTGAAGTATTTATATGTCTATAATACATTCAACAAAATTTTATGTCTTTGAGGGAAACGTTTGCGTCGGGAGTAAAGAGTAATGTCCCTCAACACAATTTCAACATTTGCCGACCCTGTCTTCGCATGTGTGAACCATTTAAACAAGCTTCAATATTTCATCATGCACTGGCTTTGATAAATGTGTTTAAACTGAGCTGTATTTTTTGAAATTTTTCAAATTAAGCAACAGATACTGTTTATAGTTTTTGTTTCTTAAATTTTTCTTTCCATTTACGATAAGTGTGATTACTTGTAGCAGCATCTTGTGACCTCAGTACAGTAACAGGTTAATTTCATCTCAATTTAATTGAAGTTAACCAGTTTGCACTAAGGTTACGATATGTTAGGTGCAGTTAAAATGCTTCATTTAACGATTCTATAGCAATCTGGCAATTATCGATGTAAATCAAGCGTTTTGTTTTGCTTATTCACCATCAGATTGAATAACAATAAACTTTATACAACTCTAGTGTATTTGTAATTTAGTTTTGGAATGAAGAAGTAGTCGGAGTACACGAGAAGAAAGTGAAGAAAGTCAAGATAATATTGACAGACTTTACACCACCTATTCGTGTGGCTACTAGCTTTATAGGATGCTTCGAACGTAAGTATGCTAATGAATGATAAGTAATAAAAAGTCTCTATCAGACGTTCTCAGATGATTTATATTTCGTTTTCTTATACGAACTTTTATATTTATCTTATAATCTAACACGATCCATATAACTAATATTTAATTTGTATTCTTACACGATATGAACACCTCTCATTAACTATATATTAATGATATTTATCACCTTTTACTTAAAAATAGTGTAATGGCATAAACATGTTTAACATAATCGAACACATATGCGAAGTTTCTCAAAGAGACCATTCCCCTAAAATACATGTCAATCATAAAGCACAAATACGAACGCAACGGAAAGAAAAACGTGTTTTAGTGACAAATCGAAAAGTGCCGCACTATTTTTCTCGTAAATTTCTTAGTTGTGCACGACAAAGCATTTGTAAACGGGACCGATACTACTGAGAATGTGGGCTCTTTAGAAAAAATAACATATTATCTGTCAATCATAATTTTATTACAATCGTTTGGCATATGGAAAAGCATTATTGTTTGTATTAGCTTTCTGAGGACATGTGTTTTGCTTCTCGCAGAATGAAAGTTGAGTAACACGAAAATGGCGACCATATAAATATATTTTACAACATTGAAATACATTTTTAAGTAATTTCTGTCCTACAACAGAACGAAATGAACCTAAAACCAATATTAATCAAAAGTATTTCATTGCAATTTCCTAACTTATATTCAGATAGATTTTACCATTGCATAACATTTGATTAATCACATTATTGCAAAGAAGAAGTCTATCTGAACTTTGCTTTTTAATAGCTCCAGAAGAACCAACACACCCGACTACAACCTCCACAACAACATCGACAACTCCAACAACAACATCGTCAAGTACAACAAGCACAACACCAAGTACCACGAGCCCAACAACTTCGACCAAATCTAGTACAACAAGCACAACAACAAGTACCACGAGCCCAACAACTTCGACCACATCTAGTTCAACAAGCACAACACCAAGTACTACAAGTCCAACAACTTCAACCACATCTAGTACAACAAGCAGATCAACAAGTACTACAAGTCCAACAACGTCAACCACATCTAGTACAACAAGCACAACACCAAGTACTACAAGCCCAACAACGTCAACCACATCTAGTACAACAAGCACAACACCAAGTACTACAAGTCCAACAACGTCAACCACATCTAGTACAACAAGCACAACACCAAGTACTACAAGCCCAACAACATCAACCACATCTAGTACAACTAGCACAACACCAAGTACAACAAGCCCCACATCGTCAACCACATCTAGTACAACTAGCACAACACCAACTACTACAAGCCCAACAACGTCAACAACATCTAGTACAACAAGCACATCAACAAGTACTACAAGTCCGACAACGTCCACCACATCTAGTACAACAAGCACAACACCAAGTACTACAAGCCCAACAACGTCAACCACATCTGGTACAACAAGCACAACACCAAGTACAACAAGTCCAACAACGTCAACCACGTCTAGTACAACAAGCACAACATCAAGTACAACAAGTACAACACCAAGCACAACAAGCCCAACAACGTACAGCACATCTAGTACAACAAGCACAACACCAAGTACTACAAGCGCAACAACAACAACCAAATCTAGTACAACAAGCACATCAACAAGTACTACAAGTCCAACAACGTCAACCACATCTAGTACAACAAGCACAACACCAAGTACTACAAGTCCAACAACGTCAACAACATCAAGTACAACAAGTTCAACACCAAGTACTACAAGCCCAACAACGTCAACCACATCTAGTACAACAAGCACAACACCAACTACTACAAGCCCAACAACGTCAACCAAATCTAGTACAACAAGCACATCAACAGGTACTACAAGCCCAACAACGTCAACCACATCAAGTACAACACCAAGTACTACAAGTCCAACAACGTCAACCACATCAAGTACAACAAGCACAACACCAAGTACTACAAGCCCATCAACGTCGACAACATCTAGTACAACAACACCAAGTACTACAAGCCCAACAACGTCAACCACATCTAGTACAACAAGCACAACACCAAGTACTACAAGCCCAACAACGTCAACAACATCTAGTACAACAAGCACAACACCAAGTACTACAAGCCCAACAACGTCAACTACATCTAGTACAACAAGCACAACACTAAGTACTACAAGCCCAACAACGTCAACCACACCAAGTTCAACAAGTACAACACCAAGTACTACAAGTCCAACAATGTCAACCACATCTGGTACAACAAGTACAACATCAAGTACTACAAGCCCAACAACGTCAACCACATCTAGTACAACAAGCTCAACGCCAAGTACTACAAGCCCAACATCGTCAACCACATCTAGTACAACAAGCTCAACAGCAAGTACTACAAGCCCAACAACGTCAACCACATCTAGTACAACAAGCTCAACGCCAAGTACTACAAGCCCATCATCGTCAACCACATCTAGTACAACAAGCTCAACAGCAAGTACTACAAGTCCAACAACGTCAACCACATCTAGTACAACAAGCTCAACGCCAAGTACTACAAGCCCAACATCGTCAACCACATCTAGTACAACAAGCTCAACGCCAAGTACTACAAGCCCAACAACGTCAACCACATCTAGTACAACAAGCTCAACAGCAATTACTACCCCGACAGAGAGCACAACACCTTCATCTTCTCGAAGTACAACATCAACAACAACAGTATCAACATCTCCAACTACGAGTCCGACACCAACATCACCGTCCACTACTGTTTATCCATGTGAAGTTTACGAAGGAATGTTTAAAGAGGTTTCAAATGTTTCAAAGATTCCAGATAAAAACATAAATATTACGAATAGCAACGGAGACAATCTTTTAGATAATGATGATCAAAAGACGTCTTTGAGGCCAGGTAGGGATGGTATGCTGACAATTACCGCTGCAAGTCCTGTTGACATAAATGTTCGTGTAAATGCAAGGGAACTTGTTAACATCACCTTGGTTAATGGTAATGATGAGAAAAGATTTACGTATGAAGTGACATTGCATTTTGAGAATGAAACATCATTGAAATTACCAAATACGGTAAGATCTCTGCCTCAGGGAACTTTTTTAAAGCAGATATTATTTCAAAAATCACATTCTAGTATAGATATAAAAACAACATAATAAGTGAAATTGATTTGAGTAACGCTCAAGCCTGTGCTAGGGGCGTGAGTGATGTTGCACTTTTTCATTATCTTTCATGTACAGAATCCAGCAAACCGAGTCTGCAATTTTCATGTAATTTTCCTGTTTTAATGCTTCCGGTGGATCACTTTTTTCAAATATTGAGTACTTATATTTACAAATTAAATAGTTTAAATATTTTAGTTGATCCTGGTTTTTATGCTTTCTTAGATACGTTGATGACACATAATTGTACGAACTATGCATTTATATGTTGACTTTGTATATAATTACTGTATGTATAAGACACAGTCATTTACGAGCCTTACAATATCATAGAGACGATGTTAAGAGGTGTAAAAGGCACATTAATCAACAAGTAATATCACATCGGCGCTCGTTTAATGTGTATAAAACACACGTAATTTTCGAAATATATCATATTTATATATACGCTATTCAGATATGTATAGGGGACCATAAATAGCAAGTTATATGATATCATAGAGACGTTCTTTTGGGCGCATTAATTTATAAGCTGTGTATTATCACACATACACTTTGCCAGAATTTTACAGCCTGACAAGAAATAGAAAGATACAAACAATTATTTTACATTTTTCTTTTTTATTCCATGGCAAATACCGTTGATAATTAAATCGACTTCTTTTTGCAAACTTGATTTCAATGAAACAAAATGATTGGTGTTAATTCTATTTTGATTTTTCTAGTATCAGGACTCCAGTACTGCTGTTATTAACGAGGGTGATGTGACATATGTTACAATTACAATAACCGACTATGTAGCTCCAATTACTATAAAGGAACTCAGTATATTTGCGTGTTTTAAAGGTAAGAACATATTTGTATTGAATGCTCTTTTACTAAGATTGATTTAATAATTACTTTAGATAATTTGGTCAGACAACTGAATTATTTAAATTATTTAACGATATGTCTTTCAAAGTCATTTTGAAAGAAAATATATTCGGTTGGTCATGGTGTGTGAATAAAAGCAGTGACGTCTTAAAAACTTAGGATGTGTTTTTATAATAACATTATACAATATTAATTTAATTCTACATTTGATATAGGTTTTACTAGAATCTTTATATATTGAGATTTCTGGAGATACGATTCGGGGTTAACCCATACAACACGGGCTCTAAAGTAGTTAGGCTTTAAAAACTCACAAAGGAGAGCAGCATAGTCTATTTATAGAATTATCTTCAGAGGAATTTCTTAACATTATGTAAATGCATTTGTTTATCTTATACTTTCATATATAGGTGAACCTGGTACAACACCTACGCCAAAAACAACAACTCCGACAACAGTTAGTACAACAACACCAACGCTGCCGACATTCACAACAACAACAGCAGAAACAACTTCATTATCAAGTACAACACTTAATTTTTGTGTCGACGAAGGCATGGGAACTGCACATAATGAGACTTATATCCCTGACTACAACATAGCGGTCACCAATGTGAACGGTCAGGATTTAACAAATAATGGGACAGAAAAACGGAAATTAAGGCCTTATAAAAATGAAAGCACCTTCTTTCCTATAAATGTTCCAGCCCCCGTTATTGTCTCACTAGATATGAAAGCTTCGGTACTGAGTACATTAGAACTGTTCACACAGGAGACAAGTAACAACATAGAATATGAAATCATCATTTCATTCGAAAATGGAACCGAGTCCTATAAGTTAAACGATACGGTATGTTCGTTTCTTTTTTTTAATATTGAGTTAAGGCAGTGATTGAAGTTATGTTAGGTTTTTTAATTAATGATTCTGTTATCATGTTCAAATATCATGCAACGTGAAATTCAATTAAATTTAAATTCATTCTCCCTATATGTCTATGTAAATATGTTAATCCTAGCACAAGTTTTAAATGGTTATGCTATCATATTGTGGTTTGTTTCTTGTTTTCAGTACCTGGGCAATACTAAAGTAAAGATAGATGCGGACAACGTGATAAATGTCAAATTAAACCTTAGTGTCTTCACACCACCCTTTGGTTTCTACATAAGCGTCCGTGGCTGCTTTAACAGTGTGTATTTTTGTTCTCATTCTTAAATTGAAAGATATATCAACAGATGAAAAAACAATTTATTGTAATAATACAATAACTTTTATTATAAAGTACAATTATATATTGTGACTGCATTTATCGGTTTTAGAGCTCATTAGAAAATATAAACAATACTGTTTTTATGTCAAAACAAACATTTGAATAAAGCTACAGGCATACACAATAAGCATTATTTTCTAACCTGAGTATATTAGTCCTTGAATGGTTTGGAATGAAAGATAAAGACAACAATATATATTTCAGCCCCAGAGGAACCAACAGTACCACCGTCAACATCTACAACAAGTCAAACAACAACAACATCAAAATCAACACATACAACGCCAACAACAAGTACAACACCAAGTACTACAAGCCCAACAACGTCGACAACATCTAGTACAACAAGCACAACACCAAGTACTACAAGCCCAACAACGTCAACCACATCTAGTACAACAAGCACAACACCAAGTACTACAAGCCCAACAACGTCAACCACATCTAGTACAACAAGCACAACACCAAGTACTACAAGCCCAACAACGTCAACCACATCAAGTACTACAAGCCCAACAACGTCGACAACATCTAGTACAACAAGCACAACACCAAGTACTACAAGCCCAACAACGTCAACCACATCTAGTACAACAAGCACAACACCAAGTACTACAAGCCCAACAACGTCAACCACATCTAGTACAACAAGCACAACATCAAGTACTACAAGCCCAACCACGTCAACCACATCTAGTACAACAAGCACAACACCAACTACCACAAGCCCAACAACGTCAACCACATCTGGTACAACAAGCACCACACCAAGTACAACAAGCACAACAACGTCAACCACATCTAGTACAACAAGCACAACACCAAGTACTACAAGCCCAACAACATCTAGTACAACAAGCACAACACCAAGTACTACAAGCCCAACAACGTCAACCACATCTAGTACAACAAGCACAACACCAAGTACTACAAGCCCAACAACTTCAACCACATCAAGTACAACAAGCACAACACCAAGTACTACAAGCCCAACAACTTCAACTACATCAAGTACTACAAGCCCAACAACGTCCACCAGATCAAGTACAACACCAAGTACTACAAGCCCAACAACTTCAACCACATCAAGTACAACAAGCACAACACCAAGTACTACAAGCCCAACAACGTCAACCACATCTAGTACAACAAGTACAACACCAAGTACTACAAGCCCAACAACTTCAACTACATCAAGTACTACAAGCCCAACAACGTCCACCAGATCAAGTACAACAAGCACAACACCAAGTACTACAAGCCCAACAACTTCAACACATCAAGTACAAACAAGCACAACACCAAGTACTACAAGCCCAACAACGTCAACCACATCTAGTACAACAAGTACAACACTAAGTACTACAAGCCCAACAACTTCAACACATCAAGTACTACAAGCCCAACAACGTCCACACATCGTACAGTAAGCACAACACCAAGTACTACAAGTCCAACAACGTCAACCACTTCTGGTACAACAAGCACAACACCAAGTACTACAAGTCCAACAACGTCAACCACATCTGGTACAACAAGCACAACACCAAGTACAACAAGCCCAACAACGTCAACCACATCTAGTACAACAAGCACAACACCAAGTACTACAAGTCCAACAACGTCAACCACTTCTGGTACAACAAGCACAACACCAAGTACAACAAGCCCAACAACGTCAACAACATCTAGTACAACAAGCACAACACCAAGTACTACAAGCCCAACAACGTCAACCACATCTAGTACAACAAGTACAACACCAAGTACTACAAGCCCAACAACGTCAACAACATCAAGTACAACAAGTGCAACACCAAGTACTACAAGTCCAACAACGTCACCCACATCAAGTACAACAAGCACAACACCAAGTACCACAAGTCCAACAACGTCAACCACATCTAGTACAACAAGCGCAACACCAACTACTACAAGTCCAACAACGTCAACCACATCTAGTACAACAAGCACGACACCAAGTACAACAAGCCCAACAACGTCAACAACATCGAGTACAACAAGCACGACACCAAGTACTACAAGTCCAACAACGTCAACCACATCTAGTACAACAAGCACAACACCAAGTACGACAAGCCCAACAACGTCAACCACATCGGGTACAACAAGCACAACACCAAGTACTACAAGTCCAACAACGTCAACCACATCTAGTACAACAAGCTCAACGCCAAGTACTACAAGCCCAACAACGTCAACCACATCTAGTACAACAAGCACAACACCAAGTACTACAAGTACAACAACGTCAACCACATCAAGTACAACAAGCACGACACAAAGTACTACAAGTCCAACAACGGCAACTACAACACATCAAGTACAACAAGCACAACACCAAGTACTACAAGTCCAACAACGGGAACTACATCTAGTACAACACCAAGTACTACAAGCCCAACAACGTCAACCACATCTAGTACAACAAGCACAACACCAAGTACGACAAGTCCAACATCGTCAACCACATCGAGTACAACAAGCACAACACCAAGTACTACGAGCCCAACAACGTCAACCACATCTGTACAACAAGCCACAACACCAAGTACTACAAGCCCAACAACGTCAACCACATCTAGTACAACAAGCACAACACCAAGTTCTACAAGCCCAACAACGACAAACCACATCTAGTACAACAAGCACAACACCAAGTACGACAAGTCCAACAACGTCAACCACATCTAGTACAACAAGCCCAACAACAAGTACTACAAGCCCAACAACGTCAACCACATCTAGTACAACAAGCTCAACGCCAAGTACTACAAGTCCAACAACATCTAGTACAACAAGCACAACAACAAGTACTACAAGCCCAACCACGTCAACCACATCTAGTACAACTAGCTCAACACCAAGTACTACAAGTCCAACAACGTCAACCACATCTGGTACAACAAGGACAACGCCAAGTACTACAAGCCCAACAACGTCAACCACATCAAGTACAACAAGCACAACACCAAGTACTACAAGTCCAACAACTTCATTCACTACAACTACTATAAGCTCTACGTCAGGCAGTACCACAGTTACAATAACTTCGTCACCTACGACGTTATCAACCACGATACCGACATCTTCTATATCGACAACCACAGGTTATTGCAGATTCAATTTTTCAGAAAATGTTGTAGCCTATGTTGAGAGAGATGGAGAACCAGGTTACACCAGTGACGAAGAAACAGTGAATTACCTTGATATCATCACACATGGTGTTGAAGTCAGAATGGACTGTAGAATATGGTGGGTATTCGAAAACTTTAAACACCTTTTCCAGCTAAAACTGCGCGTATTTATAAGATTGATGATATTTGGCTTTTTATAATACTTTTAAAATGTGAAACTCCTTAATTCCTCAGAAGATTTCAGTATTCGAAAACTTTAAACACCTTTTCCAGCTAATACTGTGCGTATTTATAAGATTGATGATATTTGGCTTTTTATAATACTTTTTAAAATGTGAAACTCTTTAATTCTTCAGAAGATTTCAGTATTCGAAAACTTTAAACACCTTTTCCAGCTAATACTGTGCATATTTATAAGATTGATGATATTTGGCTTTTTATAATACTTTTTAAAATGTGAAACTCCTTAATTCTTCAGAAGATTTCAGTGTATTTTTTACAACACGATTGTAATTGATTGTGTATGTGCATATGGACCTAATTTGGAAAATGTGGACAGGATTCTATGATTTCTATGGGTGTTTATAAAATTGATATACGATATGAAGAAAAAGAACATATTCTAGCGCTTAAATAATCAAAACTCGTTTTCTTGTTCCAGCACATGTATGGATGACAACAGTTTTAGCTGCCAAAATGAAACTCACTGTGGTAAAATTTGTTTTCTTAATTATATATTTAATCTCCTTATAAGCAAGGGAAAAATACAGCAGCCAGTAATCTCCCTTTGAAGTTCTTGCCCTTTGTACACTTATCTCTTTGTTAATATTTGTTAATTTCTTTTTATTATATTATTTCTTTGAAATATCTTTAACTTTATATAATATGTTTTAACTAACTCTTATATGGATTTTGACAGAATTATATTCATATCTAAGTTAAAAGTTCAAGGCGGTCTTGTTTTGCCATCAAGCACTGAGAAAAGTCGAACATGCTGCCCTACCGACAGCTCTTGTTCCTATATGTTGTAGGTCTATATATGTTGTAGGTTTATATATATGTCTAAAAGGTTGTCGTTTAAATAAATAATTTGTGGCTGTAACATTCTAAACGGAAATCATTGAGAAATGAATATAAATGTTTTGTTTGACTTTTCTGTCTATTAGAATGCGTGTATTCACCATGGGGCGCGTGGACACCTTGTTCAGTGTCATGTGGTAATGGATGGACAAGCAGGTCACGTTACTTGGTATTTGGAGATTCTATCATATGTAACAAATCACTAGAGGAAAATGATAGATGCGACAGCGGGGATTGTTACTGTAAGATAAGTTCAAAGTCCGATTTAATAATGTATTAAAGGCACATTGTGTTTCAGAAATGAATGAATATTTCATTCTTTAGAAAGGGCAATGTTAGAATTTATAACATTTAAATCATGTTTTAAGAGCATGATAGATGCTTACACCTGATGAAAGTAGTGCTAAATGTAAAATAATTTGTCCTAAAAGTAGGATAATGTAAACAATGTAGTATTTTCACTTTCGGACAAAATACTAAGTCATTAAAACTGTACTAGTTGCCAAACAGCAACAGAGGCCAATGGTGGTTCAGGTTATTGGTCATTAAGTAACAGTTTTGAAACTATAGCTTGACACCAAAAATGAAAAAGATTTTAAGAAATAGAAATTGTTATTTAATATTTCTCTGAAGCATAATGGGCCTTTAACCATTATCAATCTAAATATCATATCGCAGGTACTAGACTTGTGCACATCTAACTCTTGACAAAACCATACAGATTTTTTTCTAGGTTTAATTTCAAAATAAAAGCTAATTGGTAAGAACAGTGCAGATCATGATAAGACAGTACTTCTCTGCCGTTTGATCCTGGTATATAATGGTCGCATGGATGGGCATACTTGGCGTTTTGCCAATCGAACCGGTTTGCCCTACCAACTAACTTAACCAATTTCTCTGTAAGTGACCGTTTTCTAACCCCCAACAAGATTTCTGAATCAGTGTGAGGCACAAATGAGACTCCAACTGGATTCAGTGTCCGAAATTAATTGTCGTCAGGAACAAATTTTGCAACGCCTAAGATTCGAATATACATGTACATAAGTTTAAAGCATATCATTTGTTCAATCTTTACCTATATTCAAATTGTGTTGATTACTTACAGCCACAACTACACCCACCTGTAACACTTGGTCAGAATGGACTCCGTGTGATTGCTCGGGCACACAGACAAGAAGTCGATCGCGTTCGGGCTCCTGCGAAGAGAAATCTGAATCTGAACCTTGCTCCGAATTATGTTCAACAACAACTCCAAGTTAGTATCCGAATATTGTCATTTCAGACAGTGAACATTTAAATGTTAATTGTTACTTTACACGCTGAACTAAATCAACTTTGACATTCCTAGATATATCATGGTCAATGTATCTCGTACTGCTCGACCTCTAAGTTACATCGTCAACATTTTACTAGTACTAACTATTATTAGGTTAGTTTTTACTTCTTAAGCACTTGATATTTTCTTTCAGTCAAACGAATGCTTATACACGGACATATCGTGAAATTTTCATTTCTGTTAAATCGTTACTTTTTTTGTTGTTGATGCATTTTGTGTTAATTTTCTTTTTGTTGTGTTTTATTCAATGGCTAAACATGTTTTCCTTCCTTTCATTTAGCCACATGTCCACCTGGTCAACATATTGAAACTTGCTTCGACCCTTGTGACTCTTTGTGCCAGGAATACAGAAACCCAGGTGTATGTGATCGATTAGAAGGTTGCACATACGGTTGTAAATGTCCGATTGGAATGCGTTACTATAACCACCAATGTATCAATGAAACGGAGTGTCCATGTTATGATGACGAGGGCAATGCTGTACCAAAAGGGCATTCATTCCCAAGCACTGGCGACTGCATGGAATGGTAGGTTGATTTTTTTTCTTAGAAGATCATTATAATAAATGAGATTTATTTTCGGCAATAATTTTGGTTTGTTGATCGCGTTTACATTTACTCTTTTATGTCCACTATCCGAAAGTTCTATTAAATACTATTAAAAATACTGGTTCAAATCCCAAGCACTGTTAATAACCCTAAGTACTGTAAATCACCCAAAGTATTGGTAATAACTCCAAGTTATGTCTTTTTAAGCGGATTGGTCTACAACAGGCACACTTGCAATATTTCAAATATTCATAAAAACAAAAGACATGTATTGTTTTGATATTCATATAAAATATTTATTGATGTGGATAGAGTTCTAAGTGATTTAGTATGAAGATGGATATGTTGAAAATGTTACGTGGTTGGTTGTCACATACTATCAACATTTATTAATTATTTATTGTATTAAAGACTTTTCATTACGGAACAATTCACTTAAATTATGTTATAAGCTCACAGACAATAGAAGTTTTACTTACAAAGCTATTCACTGTCGACATCAATGGGCATTTAGTTCTTTTTTAATTTTTTTTTTATGTTGTTTATTTTTTTTAACTATTAATGGTCTGTTGATAATGCTGACCTTTTTAATATAAAGTACAACAAATACTGTACTAAAAATGAAAGAATGTTATCCATTTTTGTGTGTATATATTTTGGTAGTAAAACATTTTTGTTTTCATTTTAGTGTATGTAACGAAAACAATCAAAAAAGTTGTACGCCGAGTGAAAACTGTAAGTATATATATATATATACATAAATAAGAACTTCTAAGTATGCAAATAATAATTTTTTTTTTTTAATTTGGAACCAAGGCAATTCTGGTAATAAATTGCCATCTTCAAGAGTTTCTAAAATTAAGAGTTTCAAATATAATTTAAAACTTTATAAAATTAAAAAAAAAAGAACGACTTTAATTGTAATGTAGTTTTCATTGCTTAGTAAACGTTTTTTAAACAAAATAAACAATCCCACTAACATTATAGAGTAGCACGTGAGAGCGTTTTATTCACATATACCTTAGTGAGATATACACACAAGCATTGTTTCCAACACAAGACTTTTTAGTACTACAATCTATAATTATTTGACATTGTCGCATTTTGTCGTGCTTATGGACGCTTGAAAACACTACATTACAGGCTGTATATGGAGTTCTTGGTCTACATGGAGCTCATGTTCTAAGACTTGCGGTGGTGGCGAACGCTACAGGGACAGGTACTGTGTCTTGGTTTAAACAATATTTATGTTAGAAAGCATGTACAAATGTATCTAATTTGAAGCACTTTCAAGCCACATTCTTCGACCTAACATGTAGGAAAACACCGTTATACTCTCATTACGACCCGAACCAACAATATCTGGGTTAAAAGCAAATACCACGTCAACTAGGCCGTCGCTCCTTCACTTTCTCTTACATTCTAAACTTTATTAACCTTTCAAAACATGAAATAGTATCATTACATGAATTCTTACAGTTACTTTATCAATGTCCTTTTGTGAGAGAACAGTATTCCTTAGGTTAAGAAACCCCTGTTTTAATACATGACTAAGTACAGAATGAATATGACATAAAGCTATAAAATTCCCTTACTTTGAAGTTCCAAATCATGAAAATCAAAGAAGTAATGTTTGAAAATCACACTTATATATAATGTAATCTTAATTTTGCATTTTCCCCTCAAGATGTACGGTCACTTAGATACCTACCAATGTAATAAAGCCAGGCCAACCTGTTGCATTATGACTAGGCCATATACTGTTGGTAGATACATCTTGGTATTCTTATATTGGCATCGCTAGATATTTGAACGGAGTGTTCCAAATTCAATGCCGATGCAATCCCATTGACAATGTTTAGCTGATTAAGTGTTAATACAAAAATTATGTCACTGTAAAACACATTGTAAAGAAACTATGACGAGATACATACTACCGTTGTAATGATGACGTCACGGAAAACGTCATATCACTATAGTAGTATTAATCTATGTCGTAAAGTTGACGTTATTTGAACATTTCCTTAATATGTACAGGGAATCAAGTGGTAATGGATGTGATGAACACGACGAGTCAAGTCAGACAGAACCGTGTAATGAGGACCCGTGCAAACCATGTGTAATTGATGGAGAAGAATACGAACAAGGAGAAGTTATCACAAATTGCACGTGTGAAGTCTGGTAATTTATATTCATTTATCTCCCTTGCTAGTTAGCTATAGCTGGTTTTTTGGGGGCTTTTTTTGGTAAAAATATATATATTCTTTTATCATTTTTTATTGTACTAGTTTACTTGTAACATGTTCTGTTAAATCAATGAATTACATTTTATAAGCTTTTAGTGGTCTACAGCGTATGACCAAAAAATAATTGCACAGCAAATAAGAAAGAATGAGTACTTAAGAGTTGCAGAAAATAATAAATAATGGATTTTTCTGCGGGAAATTTAACAGGTCTATATATCGTTTGATCAAGTACTTTCTGTACTAGGATTACAATGATTCACGAATCTACAATTTTATTTTCATTTATTTATTCACTACTTTTTGCTTTTAGTTATTGTGGAAGTGATGGCAACCTAGACTGCAAACCCAAAGAAGATAATAACAGTAAGCTTTTTTTTTTCTTTTTTCCTTTTAAATGCTCTACATTTTTTGCACACAAAAAAACTATTAAAAAGGCACATAGTTGTACATATATAAAAGTTACAGTTGTCAAGATATTCTTGGTATTTAACCAACATCATGATTGATTAGGGAGTTACCCAGAACATTTTTGTGTAAGATAATCATTTGTTAACCATGTTCATTCTTCATTTTTATGCGTTCTTCATTTGAAAAAAAAAGACTTATTGAGTAATTGTTATAACATAATTATAGGACGAGTACTTTAGTGCCCGAAAATTGATTGACTTTAAGTGCAGATTTTATTCCTTCATTATTCAATAGATAGCAGTTTTTATTGTTTGTTTGCTTTTTTTTTGTATTTTTGTTAAATAAAAACACGTCTTAATGTCCTTACAATAGTTGATGGCGGTGTATCTTCTTGGTCTGAATGGACAACCTGTACCAAGAACTGTGAAGGAGGTATGAGGTTCAGGTCTCGGCTTTGCAACAGCCCTCCACCAAGATGTGATGGTACAATGTGTGCCGAAGATCTATTCGAGCAGGAGGACTGTAACGCTGACGTGTCTTGTAAGTTGATGATCTGTCACAGTATTGGGTTCTTATGATAAAATCACCATTTTCAAGTGCAGAAATACTCTATCCATGTTTTGATTGTTAAGACATCCAACGCTGATACTACAGTATATCACTTGATAAGATGTATCATCCTTTGTTTAAAAAGCTTCATATGAATATTCAGTTTTGCATTATATTATTTACGGTCACCGGCCCATACACCAAAAGACGATTTGAATTGTTAAATTAATATAGGCTAGTAGTAATCATGCATTAAAGGAATCTCATAATATGACTGATAGATGAAAATGCCACTACAGATACTTTGAAAATATATGATTTAACTTGCAAATGCATTGCAAAAAAGTTTATCCAGTTTTAATATTTGTTTTGGCTCTAATCTAGAATCTAATATTTTTTGGTTTTAAAATAGAGTAACAAAAAAAATCAGAATAACGCCATTGCGCTCCGTATTTAAACATAAACAATATTTGTTTTTAAAATGAACGATAAGATATATTTTATGAAAATTAAAATTATAAGTTTTCTCATCATCACAGGTTGTGATGCGACGGACTGGGCACCATGGGGCGAATGTTCAACATCATGCGGTGAAGGAAGTAAGACTAGAAGTCGAACCTATGAAAACCCGTCAGACAACACCGTGTGTGACCGATCTCTGACAGAAACCATCCCTTGCTACAACAATTTACCATGTGACAAATGTAAGCACTATATTCTATGTTATAAAAGTAGTTCTTATCAATCAAGGAATCGCCTGTGAATCGGATCTACGTTTAACTGCTTTTTTTGTTTAAGTGTGCCTTTTTGTTTAAGAAAGTTAAAGAAAATGCATATTTCTGCTGGTTAGTATAACAGTGGATGACCAAGTTATTTACAATGTTAACAACTACTGAAAATTGCATAAAGATATTAATTATAAAGAACAGATGCAATAATACACAACCCTGTTATGTCACCAGTAACAAGTTAAACAGCTAAATCATTTGTACAACTTACCACATAATTTTACATATTTTTTCAATGATAATAGCTTGCAATGTGTCAGACTGGAGCACATTTACACCATGTAATGCTAACTGTGGAGAAGGAACACAGCACCGTTCACGTATAAACCATGACAAGCACAGAGCAGAATGCAATGACATCGAAGAGTTCGAGGAAGTAGTTTGCACATTGCCTGATTGCAGTAAGTTTCTTGCTCTGATTTAAATTCAAGATGTTTATCATTTAAAATGTTTTAATTCTTCCCTTCCTCTTTATCGTGGAAATGATTACACAAACTGAATGTATTAAATCAAAGCATCTTCAGCTTAGTGCAATCAGTAGACCTTATTATGTTTTATTTTGAATTTTAGAAATACTATAGTGATCATATGTGCTACAATATAACTTTTGAGAGAAAGAACATAGCTTATATAAAACCACTTCATTGAGCTGAGCAGAATCATAGAATTAAAAATTGCTATGACCTAATGAGAGCTCCACTAACAATATTTGTGTAGAGGCATACACCTTAACTAATTTTTGATTATTAGTACTCCGATTGATTACATTGAATATATTATATGTTATATTTTCAATAAATATTGTTTTGTTTAAGAAGAGAAATTTTACATAAAATAGTGTCATTATTTGCTCGGCCAACAATTTGTCGAAAACGAAATGTCGATAGATCTACTCAGTTCCAACCATTCATCAACATATTTTCTTAACATGTTTTTTTATATTTTAAATAACCTACGACATAGCATTTTAAGAGAAACTGTATAAAATAATAGTAAATTTATCTTCATCAACATAACTTAAACGGTTAATACCGCGGAAATAAAGGAAATATCTTCAACCGATGTTTGTTTGTAAACTTAATATGGAAAGTCCAGAATGCGAAGTAATTCAGTAATTTGGATTGTCAAACCTAAGTTTATCGGATCTTAAACTTATTTCATTACCTATTTATAGCATGCCAATATCCTATGATATGGGCCAATAACAGTCTGTGTCATAAACAAACATGTGACGATATGCTCATAGACCCAAGCTGTTCGGAGGAGAGAATGCCTGACTGTGTCTGCCCAGAGGGATTCTACATGAAGAACGGCAAATGCGTCGATCTCGATACATGTTACGAATGTGTAATTGAAGGCGAGGTCAAGAAGGTGAGTTTGCTTAAAACTTAGACTACTGTAGTTCGTTAATGGATGTTTCCAATTGCCATTGTTTTGAACTTTACATTGATATTTTTTGGGGATATCAAGATGAACTATTTAAGTTTATCAGCCAACAATATAGTGCCTAGTTATAGATGTACGGCTATAAGGTCTGGCCCGGTTCTGTACTAGTAGCCAAGACAGACATTACTTTGAGCAAAGTAAGGGATAATATTATGTTTAGATTTGTGTTGCACAATTATTTAGTAAAATACGATTCTCTAAATAACAGAATATAAAATTAATTTGAGAGAGTCATCTGTTCTTTCACTTGGATACATTGACATGTGGTCGGGTATTATATTTCGTCAATAGTTAGATGTCGTATTTTGTACTTAAAATACATATACTTTCTTAATAAGTGAGTGTTAGACAAACTTTGATTAGATATAAGACAATGTAAAATATACTTACAGAATGGCGAACTCTGGACACCTGATGGAACATGTGACATATGCCAATGTGTCGACGGTAAAGCCTCTTGCAGACCTAATATGGAAATCCCAGAATGCGCAGTAAGTCACGTTATTTGTCAAGTCTTCGTCTTAAACTTATGTTAATCTTGATTATCGACCGCCAAGATATGACCAAAATATGTTACATGACAATTACCTCTTTGTTATTAACTTTCACAAAGAGCGCCAATTCTATTCATGTGCCGAAAACATTTTACTTGCATCTGGAAGGTTAATTTTTACACCATGTGGTGCAAATTATTAGAATATTAGAGGCTTATTCGTTCATGAAGGCTGAAATGTCTTTATATGATAGGAGTGGTGCAGTAGTCGTATTTAACCCAACAAAGCGAAATAAAATTAATCATTAAAAGTGTACATTCATACTTTCTTTACTGTTATAATATTATTTCCAAAACTACTATTATCTTAATGTTCAGATTAAATCAACAGCGTACTTTAATGATTATTGTTTCTTCTTAAAGCCTGATGAGGAGGTAACGTATGAAGATGGACCTTGCTGCCCGAAATGTACGATAAAGAAGCCCACATGCCAGCTACATAACAAGACTGAGACGCTGAACTATGGCGGTAACTGTGTCACAGAAATGGAGATTACATACCAATATTGTGGAGGATCTTGTGGCGAAAGTACCGCTGTTCCAACATTGATGACGTCAGCTTCAGATAATGATGGAATAGTGAGTGTACCCTGTTTTTACGTTATTCTCGTGTTGGTAAAAAATCGTTTTATTACTTAAATGTTGAGTTGATTCTGATCATATGTTTGTTATCATATCTTAACTGATTTTATCTAAAGAATGGATGAGGGAGGTCTTTTGATTAAACTATAGAATGGATGAGGGAGGTCTTTTGATTAAACTATAGAATGGATGAGGGAGGTCTATCATAAATTGTCAACAAACAATTTCATTCTGATACTTATAGTCTACTTCTTGTCTTCTGGTTGAGCAGATGTTTTTTCCTATGTCGGAGAGAGCAAACGGGGTACTAAATAACGTTAGTTCTAATTAGGATAGGACAAAACATGTACTTTGATATGTGTAGTTTAAAATTACAATGACACACTTTAGATACAATCTGGAAAAGGGAAAATGTTCCATTAGCAATGGAAAAAATACCTCTATCCAGACACCGGCGTTTGAAAATTTAAATAATCTACAATTCAATTAACATCGTCTAGGAACTTCTGTCTAGAAAATCATGCTAAGCTGAAATGTTCATGATTACTGTATTTCTGTTGCAGGTGGGCAATTGTAAATGTTGTCAAGGTATACCGGCTGGAACACGGGACGTAACTTTGAAATGTGATAATAACGGTTTGAAAGAAGACATGGTGTTATACCTTCCATTACTATCCGGTTGCCAATGTAACACGTGCAGTAAGTGGTATTTTATAAGTTACATTCAACGCAGCATGTTACCAGATTCAAGCTGATCTCTTTCTTAAACTGAATACATTGTTATTTAAAAGGTGTTGTTTTTTGTCTAAAAATGTTGTCATAAGGAAGTTTACACTTGACAGTACCGTCCATTAATAGGCTCAATCAAACCGAGCCTGCAACAATATCAATTTTTGCCGTGTTGGAATTTCTTTAGGGATGGTTATTTTCTCTATTTCAACAAAGTTTGAGACCGTGTTCAATTTTCCAGGTGCAGCAATATTAATAATATCTCGCTGAAATAACAGTTTTGTGCAAATATTCTGTAAAAGTGCACCATAACATGTAACTATTGAACTGAGATATAAAAGAAAATCGTTGAAATATGTATTTCTTTTTCAGGTCCCTAAAGATCAACCTTTAATGACATTTATCAAACACGATTTTGCCAACTACATGGACAATGAATTTGATTTGTAGATAGTAGCTTTAGATGGGGAGTCTACCCACTATATTATCCTTCTGTCTGTTTTCTTAACACTTGTAATAAAGAAAGTAACTGTGATAATAAAGCGCTTTGCAACGCCTTGGAAAATGGACACTCTTCGGAACTGACTTGCATACCATTTTGTGATTCAATTTCATCTGCGATGACGACCATAGCGTGTTTTAATTTTTGATTGTTCTAATGTTTTGTTTTTCAATTGATTTAAAAAGTGCACTTTGTTCTTTGTTATGGCATGGTTTTGCAATGAAGCAGCTAACTTTTCTTGTTTGTTAACTTTGTGTTATTGTTATAGTGAAATTTATAAGACCGTGATATTGATTTATAACTAGATTTCAAAATTATTTACTGTTTTCTGTTTACTGGTGTTTCTTTTCTTGTTATTTGTTGCCTGTTATGATTATTATTATATGTAATGTTAAATTTGTTGACGCCGACCGGATCTGTTAAAAGGATATCGACATTAATCATGTATATATTATTATATTACGTAGAATTAGATGCATCCCAGAAAAAAATAAAAGTAAAAAAGAGGAGAATTGCGAGGTTGGAGATGATGATAAATAAAAACTTAAACAATAAAATATTGTTGTTTTTCATTTATTTGAAATACAACATTGTTCATATAGAGATTTCAATACAAATGTGCAAATGTCCAATGAATTGGAATCATACACGTTTAAAGGTAAAAGAAATCCAGTTACCTTTGCAATGCAAATGAAATAAAATAAAAGAAGAATAATTCGATGGCTTGGTACGAAATATCTATATCTCATTCTTTTAATCTCAAACAAGTTACAACCATTTTGTACCAAACCATCTATTAAAATTTACATGCGTTATCCTTACATATTTATTCTCAAAATAATCAGTATTAAAAAAGTATTGCAAGTAAAAAAATCGAACCCGTTTGGTCGTGTATCAACATATACAATGTAGCATTCGGTATCTTCATTTAATATTTGAGTAACTTGACTTTTTGAAAATTAAACAGTAAATTACTTATGATTTCAAGTGGATTGGTGTACGATGGGTACACTTCTGCAATAAGTATTTAAAATATTGATAAAAAAGTGATTCGTTTTAGTGTTACAAATCTCCTTAGTGAACCAATTGACTTTTAGAAAAAGAAATTATTTTCTTTTGTCTAAGAGTTAAAAATGTATGCTGCCATTCGCAAACAGAAGAATAATATTGGAATGATTGACAACTTTAATGACGGAAGCTTACTTATGATCAATATCAAACTAAAATTGACATCAGTTGTGAACAGTTGCACCATCGATGGTGTTAACAACAACTTGAAATTAAGTACTGAATACTAGAAACTACACACATAATGTAAATTATGAAGTTCTATATTCATATTGTTTGTAAAAATAAAAATCTTAGGTAAATGAATAATTTTCAAAATCATTTTTAAACGCATTTCATTATTTTGGAATGTTTGTGTAACGTTAAAGGGTACGTTTTAAGATTGAAGTGATAACGTTTTTATATGGTTTTATATTCAAAGCGATAATTTATACCTAATTTAAATTGGACTCGGAGATTTATTTAAAATTATTCCCTTTTTTAGCCAGTATAACATTTTGATCAAAATAAATTGAAAATGAATGCGTGCAGTGAAATTAGAAAAAAAAATGTTTGAGATTATTTTTAACAAATTAATTTGAAATAATAGAGTTAATTATGGCCAGTTTACATGTCGGCCATATAAACAGCGCCATGATTCTCTACTCACTATTGTTTGTCTATTCCCTGAATAAATCGATACGTTGGTTTTCCAAGGGTTAAAACTACAAACCGCATCGTTTTTTTTTTAATTTTGAAAGCTCGCCATTGATTGGTTGTTTGAAAGACGACGAGAAGGTGACTACCTATGGATGGATGCCAGATCCTTATGCGTAGTGTTATTTAGGAGCTGATTTTCATCAGATTGCAGGTTATCTATCAATTCAACCCATGTCGAAAATAACAAACTGATAACACTTTTTGAACCCTTTATCCATTGTAATAAATTATATGTTTACTAAATGATAAGACCTACACACATATTTGTGACTGATACACTTGGTAAGTTCACTGACAAAAACAATCATATGATAATGGTTAAAATACATTAAGGTTATTTCACTGACTGGTAAGTTAATAGGCATGTTCATTAGGAAAGTCGTATGCAAAGTTGATATTCGTTTTAAGATTTATAGTACTGATAGTTTTAAGATTTTATACGCTCGTAGATTTATGTACTTGGATTTTGGTATTTACTTATTTAAGCAATATTTCTTCCGGTTTGATAAAGGTTTGCTTAACAAACGTTATAAATATTCAATGTGGAATTAATTATAAACAACAAATACAAAGAAATTGTACCCAAAAGTAATAAATATCATACAGAAAAAAAAAGATTAATAAAAATAAAAAAGGAAAAAAAAAGAAATAAGATCTGAATTAAGTAATCAATAAAGAATATCAGTGAAAAACATTTTAATAAAGGGAAGATTATCTAGCGCGTTTTATCTTAAATGCACATTATGCCTCAGAAATCCATATTTTTTTTAATTCTTTAGAAATGTCAAACATGTGTTTAAAATGTGTAATAATGGGTTCAGAGCATGTAAAATTAAGCGCTGAATGTGCGGTTATGTGTCATAAAGGAAGCAAAATATAAACAAAGTAGTATTTTGACTTCCATACAAAATACTTATTTACTATAATTATACCAATTGCTTATATAGCAACATAAGCAAATGTTAGTTTGTTCATCTATATGGCACATGAGTAATGTTTCAAAAATAATGTTTTTTGAGACTAAAATGACAGCATATGTGAGGCATAATGGGCATTTAAACCATCTTCAACATTAATATGTGTTAGTATTAGACCACTCTCTTAATAAGCTCGTTACTTTCCTTCAACGTTCATGGGAAACAGTCACTTTTTGAAATCCGTATAACATTTTTTCTTAAATCTCAGTCCAAAAAAAAAAATGAACCGCGTCACGACAAAACCAACATAATGGGTTTGCGACCAGCATGGATCCAGACCAGCCTGCGCGTCCGCGCAGTCTGATCAGGATCCATGCTTTCCGCTATCAGTTTCTCTACTTGTATAAGGGTTTGTAAGCGAACAGCATGGATCCTGATCAGACTGCGCGGATGCGCAGGCTGATCTGGATCCATTCTGGTCGCAAACCCATTATGTTGGTTTTGTCGTGACGCGGCTCAAATAATATAATGGTTCGTATATGCTACTCTCTATAAATGACTAACCCTATAGACAAATTTATAAATGATTTTCATAGCTGCCTTGGTAAATACAAACTACTTGCGTTAGTGAGTAAAATCTCTTAAATATTTCCGAATTTGATCAACTTACTTAAGTAGAAATTAATATTCTTCCTGATTATATCCTTCAAAATTGTTTACCATTTATAAAACAATCTTCCTCGTTTGTTTAAACTTTACAATGTAGAAAATCTACATATCGACCGCAACATGAGTATTTCATTGTATAATGTTTAACATAAAAATTCACCAACTAAATCATTTCAATAACATAACTGTATGTATCTGACTAAAGTAAACTATCTGCTAAAAGATAATTAGATATCTCAGCAACAAAATATAAGTAACATATAACTAAGCCGCAAGTAAGGTGTATAATAAATAAGCGACAAAATAACACAATAAACTGATACGTGTTCTAACACAGTATACTGCAAATTGTAATAATGTAATATCTGGCTTGACAGTTTCATCAGAAATCCATATTTTTGTAATTCTTTAGAAATGTCATACTTATAAAAATGTTTAATAATGGATTCAGAGTATATTAGAAGTTTAACAACTAAAGAAAAGTTGCGCTAAATGTGCAGTAATTTGTTGAAAATGTAGTGAAATGCAATTTAATACTTATTCACTATAATTATATCAATTGCTAACAAAGCAAAAGAAGTAAAAGATAGTTCATTGACGTGGCAAACGAGTATTTCTCTTTGAAGACTGTAACAAGATACCACAAAAATAACAAGTTTTTGAGAGATAAAATGATAGCATTTCTAAGGCCTAATGGGCCTGAAAACATAATAACATGCATAAACACGAGTATACGCCTCAAACATATCCGAGTTTGGTACACGAAAAACTTCTGTCTATAAACGATAAAAACACATAAACTATATTCCATTTAATGTTCATATGTGTCTAGAGTTAATATCAACCTCCGCAATTTTCCGATTTTTTTACAATCTGTCCTGATTAACATTCAATATGAAGAAATTGAAATAAAATTAATCAAAATAAATAAGTATTTCAAACATTTGAATAAATAACTAACAAATAAATAATGAATAAATACAAAAAGAAAATATCATCAACAACAGATCCACCAGTCTCTCGACTATAACACGTAGTTTGAAAAGTAAAATTCGTAAAAAGAGACGGTTTTCATGTGCTTTCTGTATCTGCATCTTAGCCGACACTTAACCTGACCTGAACGCAAAAAACAAAAAACAAAAACAAACAATCTCAAAAAAGACTTTGTTCTGCAAAGGCTACCATTCTAAGTTCATGTCGGACTTACTCCAGACATATTTTCCTCCCCTCTTGAAGAACATTTTCTCATCAAAACCACTGAACTTAAGAGCATTGTTAACTCCAACATCCAACAACGATCTCGAAGGTTCCTTGGCCCCGCGTGTACAGTCCAGAAATCGCATCTGTGAAATATAAGCAGTAAAATATCGATAAAAAACGTAATTAATTAAAAAGAAATGAAACTAATTTATTACCATATTACTGTGATTATAACTCTGTACAAGGAGAAAATACGGATCACGAATTGAAAGACTGGACTCTGATATTTGTATATTCGCTGCGTTGTAACACCGCACTTTGGGGTCAAACGCACTTTGGGGTTCGACCCCAAAGTGCGTTAAACTTTGCACCGCACTTTGGGGTCCAACGCACTTTGGGGTCAAAATCGAGAAATTGACCCCAAAGTGCGTTAATATGCTACATATCAACGCACTTTGGGTTCAAGAGGTCTAAAGGTGTCATCTGAGTTCTGCTTAAATACTGAGTACTGACTTATTTTCTATCTGCGACATTGGAATATTTGAGGTGGGGTTCAAGATGGCGGTCAATACTTTATGATGCTTAAGTGATAAAAGTTTCATGAATTTTACCACTTGGAATATCTAAAAATTGTGTTCATATAACAAAATTACGGTGGCATAAAAGTGACATTTGCATTTTTTTTGTTTTTAGTTTTTCTATACATATTTTATTTTTGTTTTTAATACATATTTTAGCCAATCGAAACAGCCTATAGTTGAGTATAAAACTAGCACAGTGGTTTGGTCACATTTCGGCCTATTTTTGGAATCGGCCCAGTCGTTTTCGGCCAGGCAAGTCCGGTTTCGGCCGACCCTTTTCGACCCATTTTAAATATTATATGTATTTTATATAATTATTATTTTTATTATTATATACTATTATATTAGTGACTATTTGGAAAGGGCTGTTGAATGGTGATCAGTTATTATTCCATGAATATGCACCACTCAACCCCACCCCCTGAGAATTGAGAATTATGAATTCTTTAGCACATCCAGATAATATGCAGAACTTATATGCCAGGTGTGCCGGCTCAAGGTCGGGGTCACACCTACAGGTCAAAGGATAAATACTTGGGTTTCATATCCGCTCCTTATCTCCGAAACCCCATGAAGGATTTTAAGGCACCTTGTGACAAATGTTAACCACATCGAGACCATATGCAGAACCTTTCTTTGGGTTACCGCGGATACTATAAATATATACTAAAAAGTGTTGTTATTTTTTGATACCTCCAAAAATGAAAATGTTGGTATTTGCAAATGCGAAGTGTTTGAAAATGGTGTTTTACAAATGGTGTAATTATCCAAACCTCTGCAAATGGCGTCATGTAAAAATATGTACGAAAAAACAAAAACAAAATATGTACAATAAAAACTAATATAAAATATGTATGCAAACTAAAAAAGAATATGTATGCAAATCTTAAATAACATATGTATGCAAACTACAAAAGAATATGTATGCAAAACTAAAAAAAAGTATGTATTCAAAACTAAAAAAATATGTGCGACAAACAAACAAAAAATACAATGTATGTACGAAAAACAAAAAAGAAGTATGAAAAAAAATACGAATGTCACTTTTATGCCAACATTCAAAATACTCTAGTACAGAAATTGTGTATTCCTAGAATTAAAAGATGCTGCGAAAAATATCCCGTTCTGTCGGCCATTTACTTGATAACTTTGCGATGAAATAAAATGCAGTTAATATATTTTTCCAAAGAACTATAAATATACTCTATTGCAATGTTCTGGTGAAACATCAAGTTTTTTGATCGGACTATAAATAGTGATTTTTACAAATACATTATTAAGCTTATCAACAAACTTTTTTTATGGGGAATCTTATATACTTCTTTAGAAAGAGCAAACATTGATTTTAAAATGTTAAAATAATGGTATCAGAGAAATGTAAGATGCTTGTTACCTGAATAAAGTAGCGATAAATGTGAAATTATTTGTCATAAAACAAGTCAAAACACTGTAGTATTTGACTTTCATATAAATTCACTATAACTGTACTCATCATTGCCGAAAAGCAACAGATGAAAAAGATGGTTCAGGTAATTGGCCAATGTGTATTTTTTGGATAATATAGAAGAACATCAAAATTAAGAAAAACAAATAAAAGCATAATGGGCCTTTAAAACGTCATTTTTAACCCTCGGGGGGGGGGGGGATCGATACCCCACAATCCCCTCTATACCCCCAGTGAGAATTTTACATTATTCTGAAGCTCCGATTATTTAAATAGTTAATATTTTTAGTACTGCCTGTACGGCCTACTACGTAAAACCGCATTTACACCTAGTCAAGTTTCTTATATGTCACATTTAGCTAAATAAATGGCTCTTTCAACATATTATCAGGCACATTTTTTACTGAAATGTCTTACTAAGATTTCCCAGAATTTATACCTTTGTCTATGCTAAGACTATCATATTTCTATAAAATGTGTAAATAAAAAACGGGAAAATAATGCATTAAGCTAAAAACAATGGAGTTAATGAAAGGTATACATTCTTTTAAAATAAATGGACAATTTCACTTACTTATCCAGACCATTTAAATCCCTATTGATTCTACTATAATTCAGGGCACATGTTTGTGTCTATTTAATACCTTGATTTTTTGTTTACCATTGGCTTTGACTACAATATATTATTTAAGATATAATGAACATTAATTTTCTATGACCCCAAAGTGCGGTCGTTTGCCTGATGTTAAAAAATGCATATGTACCTGTTTAACGCACTTTGGGGTCGAAATTGGACCCCAAAGTGCGTAACGCACCCTGGGGTCGGACCCCAAAGTACGTAACGCACTTTGGGGTTGGACCCCAAAGTGCGTTTGACCCCAAAGTGCGGTGTTACACTGCGTTATTGTTCTGATTACGTAATTTATAGGGTCTCCGTGACTTGTATACATCCAGTTATACGAGCGTACTAACAACCGAGGAAAATTAAATCTTTTTTTCCGGCTAAAATAGACTGTTTTCAATGCCATTGAAATACACTTTCCTAGTACATGTAATATGCAGCGCAGGTCTCAATTATATGGAAATGCACTTAAAGTGGGCGCCGTTTGCAGGTGATTCTTGGTGCTAAGATTTTAAATGGCTGTGGTTAATTATTTTCTAAATGGGTATTTTTTCTCTTCACAAATTCTTCAATGTTTTGTCTGAAGCAAGTAAGATGTTTATGTTAGTTGCAACTGGTTTGAAAATCGCATTCAAACACATCAATTATCAAAATGGTATACATTATTCTATAAATCATTCCGATGGACTTCAGGTGCCCCTTGTGAATTATTTCAGACACCACCGGCCGTAATTTAGCTACCGACTTAACTAAGATGAATCCAATTTATCACGTGTTTTAACACTTAATTTTTTTTTTCATACACGCAAATTAAATTTCAAAGAATCTATTCAATACACTTATACTTACATATTCATCCAAGATCAAGTACGAGTTCTGCATCTAGGGATAGAAAAATAAATATAATTTTAATAGTTTAAACCACTATTTTTTTTATTGTTTATAATTAATCAAAGAAAAAGAAAAACAATGCAAATAAGAAAGTTACCGTTTCAAAAACGGGACTGTATATAAAGTTATAAATAGAACATCTATTGTAATGATTTATAACCAAATGTTTACATTTGTTTTCAAGGGCTGATTCAAAAGCGATAAAATATCTTTGTATAAAAGGGAATATATAATACTTCGGTGTACTTGTCTCATAATTACACTTAACAATATAATATTCTTATACTCAATACCACGTGAAGTATCAAGTCGATTCATTTTTCAAAAACAGTCAATTAAATGTCAAAAGTACTTAACCTTTTGTTATCAGGCCAAAATAAAAGTTTAGTCATAAAAAAACCCATATCTGAATTTTAGGAATTTGGCCCACTTTCATTTCTTTTGGTATTTTAAAGACTTTATTGAAGAGAGGTCTACGTGTCTCCACGACGGTGGGCGTTTCGTTTTTCATTTTTTTGTGATTGTTAAAATAAGTACAAAAGAATAACACCTATCCTCTATTGTTGTCTTCTACCATATTGTTTCGTAAGGTTTTAAGTAAGATCGAAAATGAACTGATCATGTGGCGACGTTCCAGTATTATCGGTAGAGGGACTTCAAGTGCTCCTCCGTATATAATTTTAGGCATAAGCGGGCACCTTGGAACCTTCGATTCTTCTTTATGCAAGGTGGATGAAAGAATAAAAAGAATCCCTGGCAGAATTGGAAGCCAAGAAAGAAGGTCAAACGCTGCATTTGTATCAATACAAAAGAGGTGTGTTTTATTCATTTTCACTTTTTTCCTATTTTGCGACTTGTTATTTTGGGCGTTTTAGATTACTTACTTTTTCCTGTCCACCAAAAAGGTTTTGGTCATTTTAATAAAAATTAGTCTATTTATCGAAATACAAACATTTTATGTTTTTGATATATGTTGCACTTTTCCAATCCCACTATTGAATAAAATGATGTCATTTATACTTTATGGAATTAAGTTACCTTTTGGTTAGACTCAGGGACAAGGCACCGAACGGATTTGTGAATTTCAAGAAACTTGTCAAAGTCTTCATTACTAATAACAAAAGTTTCTGCATTTCTAAGAGCGTCCTGACCCGCATTTTCTCCGTCAATCAATAAGCACTGAAATACCTGTAACAGATCACTTAGTCAATAAAAGACGTTTACCATGTTATATAAGGAACTGTACACAAATTATTTTAAAATCACAAGCCCGAAATGACAATAATTTCTACTTTGTTAATAAATTATTGTTACGTACTTCTCTTACTTTCTTTAATCGCAAATCGCAAGAACAAAAGACAGTTTTGAAATATATATATATACATTGAAATGATAAGTTACAACACATATAATTATATATTCAATTATGTAATGCAATATATGTTATTTTGAGATTATAGCAAAGTAAACGTGTAATTGTTAGAAAAAGCAAAGTAAACGTGTAATTGTCAAATTTAGAAAAGTAAATGTGTTGTTGCTAGATAAGTCAAAGTTAACGCGTTATCAATGAAGGGACCAAAGAAAAATTATGAATGCAAGAAAGGTTAAAGAAATGATATATAGGATAATGGACATGCTTGTAAGCCACGAGTAGAAGCCATTGTTTGTAATCAAAAATCTTCCGTTAGCTAACTGAATCTCTTCCTCATATGACGAAGTCACCTGAAGGATTCGAATCCAAAGTGGTCAAGGACAAATATTTCGGCCACAGCTGCTTCAAAAGAAAGTAAGTGAACGAGTACCTTCCATCGGCATGGATCAAGTTCTTTTATTGAATCCGTCATGTCTTCGTTTTTGTTGTACGTGTTCACGACAGTGTTTAATTTGAAGGCTACCTAAAATACAGTTTAAATATGTCTGAATCACATGATTGTCGATATAAATACAAATGTAGTGAACTAAAACGGTTGATGTCAAATAACAAACATAGTCGGAAATATTCATACTGAGTGAGAAAACACGCGCATAACAACAACCGTAAGCACAAAAAGAGGAAGTGCAATGTAACCAATATTTAACTTACTAAATTCCAATATTGGTTTGACAAAATCAAGTATATAATCTTTACTTATTTTGTAAAGACATGCTGAGATGTTTTCAAAAATATATTTAAGTTTTCCCTATTCACAAACACTTCAGTTATGGATTTTGACGAATTTTCTCAACCAAATGTACGCGTTTAAAACATAAAAAATCCAATCCCATGCATACACTTGTTTACAAATACAAAGCAATTATTAATTAGGGTATCTGTCATGAGCTGGTTTTAAACAAGTATATTTAAACCTGTTAATAGACACAAGATAAAAATCGAGAAAAAAATTGCGTATTTCAGTACATTTAAATATGGTTTTAATTTTTTTAAAAGGGTATATAATAGCTGAAATATAATTAAATCATGATTGACAAAAATGTAATTTGTTCTGTTTTAAAGGTCAGAACTCGGTGTAGATGGGGCCAAAGTCATTGTTTGTCTGTTTTATGTACATTTGAGCCGCGTCACGACAAAACCAACATAATGCGTTTGCGACCAGCATGGATCCAGACCAGCCTGCGCATCCGCGCAGTCTGATCAGGATTCATGCTGTCCGCTTTACAAACCCTATTACAAGTAGAGAAACTGATAGCGAACAGCATGGATCCTGATCAGACTGCGCGGATGCGGCTCATTTTAACACATTGTTGTTCATATCTCGGCGATCGGTACACCTAGCCGCCGAACAGAAATTACCAGTTTCTATGGAAGTGATCGGCTTCTTAAACCTCATGATTTCTGGATCAGTAGTACCAAACAAATGACCATAAAATAGAGAAAAAAAAATCCCTAAAGAAAGCCCAACACGGTAAAATTGAAAATGTTGCAGGCTCGGTTTGACTGAGCCCATGACTCAATATAAGCATAAGACTCAATATCCATAGTCAGTTGCTCCGGAGAAATTTCACATCTCCTGATTATGGACCCGGCTACCTCGGATAACAAACCAAATTCTCTGTCAATTGTGCTGAGAATATTTGACATGCTTCTATGAATAAAGACTAACCTTATATTCCAAACACAGGCGGCGAACTCTGAGTAGACTGTTTAAATGGTTTTTCTGGCCATGTTGTCTACCGATCTTTTCGTTGGTGTCAAGGTCAAAGCTGTCACATGACACCGCAAGAATATCTAGATACTGCCCTGTAAAAGAGGATCACTTGATGACGTAATTGTCTAATGTGACACAGTAAAGTAAGAAAATCAATTTCTAATCACTGATCTCTTAAAAAGGAATAAATGAATACGATCAATATAAAAAACGAGTGCATTTCGCAACAAGTATTTTATCTTTGGATTAACCTATAGCTCTTCAGCGCTTCTTATGTAAAATTCTTCCAAGTATAATTTCCAATAACCGTAAATTATACCATACCCAGACTATGGTATAATTTTCAGTTTTGAAGATCGAAGGAGTAAGTGTTTCTGGGCGGAGCTATAGGTTAAAACAGATACACCATTGGTGCGTTGACGATTTCTGGGTTTGCGTAAATTATACCATAATCACGTGACCTTTCTTATGCAACCTCACTCGACTTCGTCTCGTGAGGTTAAGGCATAAGAAAGGTCACGTGATTATGGTATAATTTACGCAAACCCAGAAATCGTCAACGCAGCAATGGTATATCTATTACATATCGATAGAGATAATTATTTGAACGAATAGTATTAATTAATTTGTTCATAACTATTTTTCACAGGCATTCGACCTATTTACCTTGTCAATAATGATAAAATTATCGCATTATAATCTTCCGTTGAACTTCAAGGACATATGTACTACATAGCACCGCTAACCTTAGATAGTAAACGGAGCACTGATTGTATTTTTGTTCTTGATTATTTTACGACGACTTTATCATTATTATAAAGTGCCTGTGGTATATATTTTGCAACTCTTCTAACGAATATTTGTACAGGCTGTAATTCAGATAAACCTGTCAAGGGTAACGACACCAGTATACAATATGTAGGAAAAGGAACATTATTTCATTATACGTCATGTCTATGTTTTTTTTGTGTTTTTTTTTTCAAATTTAAATAACATGTTTACAAACAGAAGTTTTACATAATAGAGTGATAACGAAAAAGAAGCCTTATAGAATCCTATATTCTTATTCTTTTTTTCATTTTGGCAAATTATATATGGCTTGACAGAAATAGGTTATGGTTTAAAATATATTTATAAACTAGGCGAGGAAATAAACAATCTAATAATATATTTATAAACTAGGCGAGGGAATAAACAATCTAATAATAGATATCATAGATCACATCTACAGTGAAAACTGTTTTGCGCCGATAATTTAAGAGTTAATAGTTAAAGGAAAGTCAACAGCAAAATAAAAGGAAGGAAAAGCATCACAAAACTATTATAAATAATAGACACAAACGTACTTTCACATTAAGTTAACTACAGAAGCCACTTTTTACTTATATTCACCTCGTTAGTATTTTCAAACAGAGTTATAGTTCCAATTTGTTATTTTTAGCTAATTCAAATGACAAAGAACGACAACTATCAAAAAATTACTTTATAGATTAAATGAGAATTATACACGAAGACGCCTGTTAGACACATATATAATGATTTTTACCGTATTTCTTAAACCAGTCTTCCTTGACCAGACTCCCGTTGCTTACAATGGACACACTTGGTAACTGCAAGGTCTCTTTACAGTATCTAACCATCTCACCGACCACAGTACCTCGCTTGACAATAAATGGTTCACCACCAGAAAAGTTGATCTTTTCCATTCCTGATTGTTATTTCCGAAAGAACGTATAATTGTAAAATTGCAAAAATATCAAAACCACATGTGCTAGTATTAAAAGTAATACAATACAATTATACTTTTAACAATAATTTAGAAAATATTCTACTTTTAATTAATTTACTTCATAATAATAATTATTATAATAATATAAAGATCAATACGGCCTCTCAAAAGTAATGCATTGGTGTGAAACGTGTTTTATATCAGTGAAAAAAAATTATAAAAACGAAGAATATATACAACATAGGTAGGTAGATTTCCATAAAACAATTCACATAAAAATTGCAAAAGAATAATAAATTGTTTGTTTCAATATTTACCCGCTTCCTTAAGCATCTGTAGTCCCCTTTTCGCTGTGTCAAGTGGGAGCACGAATGAGTTTTTCGCTGTATGGAAACAAAACCCGCATTTGTAGTTGCATTTACGCGTAAAGTGAAAATTCACGCTTAATGGGACAACTTTGTCTTTTTCCGGGATGACTGTCGGTGTTCCTACCGATAGGGCCGGAGAAGGCGAGGTTGCTATAGAAACACTGTCCGTAGTTATTGTTCCATTTAAATATCTACCCGGCGCTCCATTGTGCATATGAAACGTTTTGTTTAGCGAGAGGAAAACCGTAGTTAATTTAAAAATAAAAATTACTCCAAGAAAGATAATGCCGATACAGGCAACAAAGTTATTTATCCCTAGATCTAGTTCAATACTCATTTTTTTTCCTTACGATTTATCTTGTAAAAGAAGTATAAACTCTTTGGCAAGAAAATTTCACAAATTTCCGAAAACATTGGTATTTTTCAATGACATAGTTACTTCAAATTTCCGAAAATATATAAGCGTTATATGAAAATAAATCAGTCACGCTGACCTACTTTCGGTTTGATCTATAGTTTATTAATGAACTGTTTTCCGAAAAAAAAAAGTAAACAAAAATCAGTAACACAAGAACATCTACTTTTGAACTTAATTGAATAAATAAATGTATCCGATATCAATAAAGTCGCACAAAATATTTGTTACATAATAACTGATGCATAATGGTTATCCCCAATGCATAACGTCTTTTGATACTACTAACTATATGACAAGAAATACCGCAGATGTTAACGATTTTACATTGTTATAATGATAGAGTTTTACGTTACATATATCTGCACTGCACATATCAACTAAACTATCATCTAGGAAGATAAAAATAATGTGCGTGTTTACTCCATGTTAAAGTACTGCAGATTTTATAGATTTGTTGAGACTATATGGCCTAACATTTATTTATTATCAAAACCAATTCATTTTTCAATTAGATTCATACAGTAACATAATGTTCAAATTTGATTTATGTAAATACTGATATATGCTATAAAACATATTGTAAATAAAGCTAATTTAAAATGTACACGATATAGATAAACGCACTACGAATAGCTTCATTAAAAGTGCATGTAAAGATTTATTATTTCAGTTCTGTTTCCACCATAGTGAACGTGATACAGCATCGCGCTTTCCGGTTACAGTATAGAATTTTCAAGATGGAGGATTATTTGTGGGGAAGACAGGTAGGTGATTTTATTCCGGTCCATACTACAAGTAGTTCAGTTTCTAAAAGATGTTATTGTAATTTGGTTATAAGGAACTGGATCAAGTATCTAGTTATATATTTCTTCAGACCTTGCACCGCAGTTTTATCTCTATATTGTCTCATAAATGTGCCGATTTGACAGATTGAAAATTTGAATCGAGAGACAAACGCACTTTTCTCTAATTCCGACATTATTTAAGCATGTCTACAAAAAGTAAACCTACAAAACGTTAGTCATTTGTGTTTAGAAACGTTTATAAAAGTAAATGACCAGTTGAACATATTTTCTTGTTCGTCGCATGCCTTTGCAAAAATAAACAATGTTACCAGTATAGACGAAGTGAATTGTGCCTTGTTACAGCATAGACCTAGCGATTTTTATCTGATTTTGTTACAGTTTTACCAGATTTCAGTTACAGTTTAGACCTCGATATTTCTATATATACTAGGTAAAATGTATAAATGATATTATAGAAATTTAAATCTAAGCTTATTGGCCCGATGACTATTCGTCCGTCTGTCGTCACATGTGTGTCAAATGACATCCGCTCAGTAACTACTTGGCCACATTTGATGAAAATGCACATGAATTTTCTACCAAGTTGTTCAAATGGTTTCGGTTGAAATCCTGGGATACGAAAACCAAAATATAGATTTTTTAAAAAGGCAATATAAATCATTCTTTCACCGAACCAAAAAGCATTCGCTGTGAAGCATTTTGCAAAGAAAGATCAATCATGACCCTGGGATCATTCGAATGCTTTCCTTGTTGTGAAATGGAAATTATTTTGTCATTGTTTGAATTAAAAGTCGTGTTTTTTTTTATTTCAGACATTCTGTATGGAAGTTTTCATGTTTTTCTGAAAAGGGAAAAATATCGAGCAAAAAGGTCAGACAATTACAATATATATTTTCCATAGAGCCTGATGGAGGTACATAATAGTGACAGAGTCGGGTTAAGGTCGCCGACTTCAAATCATCTTTCTTTTACTGCTGTGGTTGAATTCCGTCATGACGTTGGATTCCTTGTATTGAGGAATCTATCAAGCTAGTTTACGAAAAGTCGGTGGTTCTAGTCAGGTGCCCGCTCTTGTCTGAAAATGTTTTCATCAAAGGATTATTATACAGTAAAGCAGGATGTTTTCACATGACTTTAATATCGGTGAAAAAGAAGTAACACCCCTTTTAAATACTTAAAATAAGTTTTTAAAGGTGCAGTATTTCTCACTTGACTACTGTTTAATCACCCTTAGGGTAGTTTTCCTGCTCTTTAATCGTGTCTTTTGACAGCTTATCTGTGGTATGCAGGCTTCATAACCTCCGATCCCCTTTCAAAAAATCTATTTTATTTTGTTTCACCCATTGTGTTCTCGTTTAGGGCACACGCAAATTTTTAATCTTTGGGACAATATGCCGCTTTTCATGAAATGGTACTAATGTGTCACAATGAAGGTTCCATGGTAGCCGCCATATGAACACATCTACAGATGTTAAAATAATTCTTAAGTTTACCAATTCATGAAGCTGGTGCTAGGAGGCAATTATGAAAGGGCTCAAACAAATCGAGTCTGCAACATTTTCAATTTTGCCGTCTTGTACTTTCTTTTTCTCTATTTTATAACTAATATGCATTATGATGTGTGTTTGAAACAGTAACTTTTCTGCTGAAGAAAAATGGCAATAATACAACTTTCTAGAAAAGTATTGGTTATTCTATAACAATAATGGATTCACAATTTTTTTTTTGAAATTTGGCATGTATCTAAACTGTAACCGAAATCTGGGTATATACTGTAACAAAATCGGATCAAAGTCGCTCGGTCTATGCTGTAACCCTGCACAATTCACAACGCTCTATACTGTAACCATTCGTTTTATTTTTGCAAACGGCAATTGTAACGACAGGAAATATATAAGGTTCAACTGGTCATTTACTTTTTCATAAAACGTTTCTAAACACAAAGGACTACGTTTTTGTAATGGGGGGGGACCGGGTTTACCTTTTTGTAGGCATGCTTAAATAATGTCGGAATTGGAGAAAAAATATGCGTTGGTCTCTGAATCAAATTTTCAAAACTGTCAAACTTGCATATTTATGAGAAAATAAAGAGGAGCAAATTCTTGGTTAGGGTCTGAAGAAAACATATGACTAGATACCGGATCCAATTCCTTACCAGCGCAAAGCACAAGTACATCCTTTAGAAACTGAACTACTTGTAGTATGGACCGGAATAAAATCACCTACCTGTCTTCCTCACAAATAATCCTCCATCTTGAAAATGCTATACTGTTACCAGAAAGCGCGATACTGTAACACGTTTCCTACGGTGGTTTCATTGACCTAGATCTAGCTGTGTTTGTCTGTATCTTTTGATTAATAAACTTTAAAATATTTTGCCATATATAAACTGTACTTTAAGTTGAAAATTATTGAACTTGCCCGCCCCTCTATTAATCTAAAATGTCCCTACAGGGCTTCCATGAAGCCCTGGAGGGACATTTTAAATTAATATTTAAAACTTAAAACTTATTATTTAAAATTTAATTCTTAATACTTAAAATTTATTTTTTAATATTTAATACTTGAATCTAATCATTAAAATGGACGCGGGAAACCATTCCGTTGACAGATTGACGCCGCAAGAAGCGGCACCGAGAATACGAGTTGCGAAAGAAGTAAAGTAAGTTGGACTTTATATACAAGAAAAACTGTTTTGAATCACACTATAAGCTAGGACACGCACACGCACTTAATATCATGGTGATGACTGGCTTGGGCGGGTTTATTTATTTATTTTGCAAAAGACGATCCGTCCCAGATTGTAGGGGTCAAAGGTCAGAATTGGACTGAGGGGAATATAAAATAACTTGGTACAATTGTAACCGCCATGACAAGTTGTGTCGTACGTAAGACCCATGCTCAAAGGTCAAGGTCACATTTAGCGGTCTTTTTTATACCTTAATTGACTAGTCCATTTTTGATGCAGTTCACAGCGTCTGCTATAAAATAAGCATTACAATCAAGCAGGCTGGACATGCTTCCCTTAGGGATTTCTTAATAAAAAAGCCTTGATTCTAAGACGAGTGTTTAGGGCCACCATCATCCTAATAGTATGCTCATTGATTTGCATTTGGACATTTATATTACCAGTCTTATAGGTTGTAGTAGTGTGCTTTTAAATGCCTGCAGTTTGCAAAAACCTTGCCACAGGTTTGGTAAACAAAACTTAAGATGTAGATAAAGGGGCACTCCCTACATCTAGCAGATTATATTCTCGAAATATAACCCTGTCAGGGGCAAGCCGTTGTTTCCTTGAGCAAGAAACTTTACATTCATTGCTTAGTACTGGTTGGTTCCAGGAACGGATTCGAGAGTGATTCAATAAGCTTATAGCTTTCAACACAATCGAACTAAAATAAATTTGCATAAACTAAACATAAAGTTTGTTCTCAATGAAAGTAAAATGATAAATAAATACAATGTCAAAGAAGAATCTATGCTGAAATATATCTTATTTTACCACAACTTATCAATTTAGAGGCGTTCTGAAATAATTGCATCAACCCATTAATTGTTCAGCAACAACTCTACAAAGATTATTGACTGGTTTACAGTACTGCAACATACATTTTAACAGCTGATTTTACCGATAATGATTGGGAATATATAGCTGAAACTTTTAATTTAAGTTATAATATTTTCAAAGATTCTGTTATTTATGTTTTGGTGGTTATTTAGTTTGACATCAGTTATAAGGTATGTCCCTCTAAGGCCAAAATTGTATGAAATTGGTTCTTAATAAAAACTCTAATATATTTTAGGCAACTGCTGTGGACAAAGCAGTACATGTAAAATGAAAATGGGATGGCAGAACTACCGAGATGGAAAGTACAGAGTACTGAAGTAAAAGGTGGATAAGCACGAGTGATGTATTACACATTTGTGGAAAGTCTGGCAATAGAAAGAATAAGAAATGAAGCGCTTAGTAACTATTTCCTGGACGAAGAAAGTAACATGGACAGTGTGGAGGACTACGTACGACTTTTCATTGGCTTAAGCACCAGGACAAGTAATTGACAGTTATACTAATGTAGACCAAAATACATGTAGTTTCACAGAGTATTTTTAGAGCTTACAGTTTGTATGCGTCACAGTGCCATATATATACCTGAGATAAAAAAGAAGAACAAAAGTTTCATGATATGTGGAGTCCCTGTAGAAAAGGGCGACAGAACTATTAACATAGGGTACAGCAAAATCAAGCACTCATTATAATCTGAAGAACAATCTGAAGTATTTGCCAATCAATATCGCGGTGCTTTAATGGGTCTGGGAGTCCAGAAAAAGATAATTCATAAATATAATCCGTTTGCAGGAAGATGGGTATGTGGTTTCTAGAATAGAAGTACAGAACAGAATTTTCATAGAAAGAGATGAAAACGTTTATAATTGTCCAGAAGCTTCATCGCAGCAACATTTTGTATCGAATGTGCTAAATCAAATATTTGTTTTTTAAGTTGATAAAAGTAATTGTTTGGTTCTTGGTA